TAATATGGTTAACCATCAAAGGTTGCAAATATTTATATGGTTATCACCAAAGGTTGCAATCATTAATATGGTTATTACCAAATGTTGTAATCATCAATAGTTGCAAGCTTTTATTCATGTAGTTGCAATTATTCACATAAACAATTGCAATGGTTCATTGCACCCTTTCACTTAAACCCTTTCACTTAAATATATAACACTTAATGAGTAAAACCTTTTCTTACAAAAATATATACTTATCAGCAGGCTAGGGTAGTTTATGTAGATATGTAAATTGACATCAGTGAGTGAAAAACAATAAAAAATCATACTCCTTCCTTTTTATTTTAATTGTCATTTTAAATTTGGACACATAGTTTAAAAAATCATTTAATTTTGCATCTTTTCAAAATAAGAATATAATTATCTATACACATAACCACATTTTAACCAATGAAAATAGAAAATTAGATTAAACTAATAAATTATGAATTAAAATATAAAACCATACTTATTTTGAAACAAATTTGTTTCTCTAGAAAGACAAATAAAGTGGAACAAAGGGAATAATCATGTTTGGGAAAAAAATAATGTTTTGAATAGATAAATTCAATCCAAGCATATATATCATGTCTTAGACCTTACATAACACCATAACAACTATCACTAGTTAATTTTTTTTTTGCAATCTTTCAAGGAGTATATGATGACTTCCCTAACTTCCCACTATAACTTCAACATTTGTGTTCTTTAACCCATGTAAAAGCCGAGTTGGGTGACATCATAATAGTATATAATCCAGATACAAAGAGTTCATTATGCAAAGCCTTGACGTCAACGTCAGTTCAAAGTAAAATGATTCTATACTTATTATTTGTTAGGTATATTTATTGAAAACACATGCTAGTATTTTGACAAATTATTTGTTAGGTATATTTATTGAAAACACATGCTAGTATTTTGACAAATTATATACATATCTTCTCGAACCAAATTCATGCAGGAAATAATATAGAGATTCAAGTTTAAATATTTAAAATTTTCTGTCGCCATTATCTACAGCCAATAGAAATTACTACCAATGGACCCATTTGATCCATGTGCTAGCTATAATAAGCACATCAAACTAATTATATCTGCTTTTTGTTGTTGCCGCCAGTCCTTTATTTGATGCTGAGTGGTTTAAATGTGAACTAAGATCTAGGAAACAGTAAGAGATGGTCTCTGTCTTTGTCATATACTAGAGATTGGAATTAGTCTTTTTATTTTTTTTGTTCAAAAGTAAATTAATCTAAAATAAAACTCCAACCGTGAATCCAGCCACGAAACTCTTTTTTTTTTTACAAAGATTGATTCCTTTTTTTCCTACAAAGATTGATTCCTTTTTATTACACTATGTGTGTTTGGCTTTAAAGTTTATTTGTTTCTTCTCTATCTCTCACTCCCAGAGATCTGTTTCTTTATCCTTTTCTTGCTTTCACTCTTCTCTTCCAGTGAGAGAGAATGGTGAAGCTTTTGGTGGTAGGGTTTATTGTAGCTTGCTGGCTGATACTAGGAACTCAAGCAAATGAGTATTTAGACTTCAATGTAACAGAGATAGACCGCATTGAGGAACTAGAGTTTGGATTCTCCAAGTATAGCTCAAATTTAGACCCTTTATTAGTTGGTCTCACTCTTATCAGAGGAGCAGACTCAGGAGCTGGTACTCACTTTTCTCTCTCCCTGCTTCTGTCACTAGATCTCTCCATGTCTCTCTTTATTCACTTTTATGTGCTCTTTAGAAGTTGTGTACTCTTGTACCTTTTTGTATGTTCTTCACTTCAACTACATTCTTCTCATCTTGTTTGTTTGTCTTTTGTCCCCTTCCAGATTTAACTTGGTTTTTACGTTTACTGTTATGTATTCTTCAAGATTTCTTTCATGTTTTATTGCTTAGAAAAATGTATATATAAAACAAAATTCATGTAATTCATATGTTATGGTTTTAGTTTACTCTAACTTATTACCTCAGAGTATGTTATGTTGTGATGTGTCTAGTAGAAAAATAGAACAGTGGTTTAACCTGGATTTGTTGCGTCTTATCACAGTTTGTTTGGATGGAACATTGCCTGGATATCACTTGCACCGTGGAGATGGATCTGGAGCTAATAGCTGGCTCATTCAATTAGAGGTTTAGTGAATGATTTGTTGTCTATGAAAGCTACTGTTTACAACTCTTTCATTGTTAATGTTTATTATAATAAATAGGGAGGAGGATGGTGCAACAACGTCAGAACATGTGTATACAGGAAGAAAACCAGACGTGGATCATCTAACTATATGGAGAAAGAGCTTCAGTTTACAGGAATACTGAGTGATAAAGCTCAAGAAAATCCTGGTTTAGTCTCAAATCTTTGTTCATGTGATGTGACCATGTCATTAATGTAATGTAATTCTGAGGATTATTGATTCTCATTGTCTTTTTGCAGACTTCTTCAACTGGAATAGAGTTAAGCTTCGTTACTGTGATGGTGCTTCTTTCAGTGGAGATGGACAGGATGAGGTTAGAATCATTACACTAGTGAGTTAATAGAGCCTTTGTTTTTAGTTCTGTACATTTGAGCATCTTTTTGGCTTTGTTTAAAACTTGTCTTCAGGCTGCACAGCTTCAGTTTAGAGGAGAGCGTATTTGGAGAGCAGCTATAGATGATTTAAAGGCCAATGGAATGCGATACGCGGACCAGGTTTGACACTTAAAACTTCTCTTAATCTATACTTCAGGAGCAAAGACGAGAGTGGTTTCTTATGAACTGTTTATGTTGTGTCAGGCACTTCTCTCTGGATGCTCAGCTGGTGGTTTAGCAGCAATATTGCGCTGCGATGAGTTCAGGGACTTGTTCCCTGAATCCACCAAAGTCAAGTGCTTGAGTGATGCAGGCTTGTTCTTGGACACGTTAGTCTCTTTGTAAAAAGCTATTTTCCTTTCCCCTTGATTCAGTAAACTGTTACTGACTGTTTGTTTTTGTTAATGCACAGAGCTGATGTGTCTGGTGGCCGAACAATCAGGAACTTATACAATGGTATAGTAGAGTTTCAGAATGTGAAGGACAATCTGCCTCGTATCTGCACAAACCATCTTGATCCAACTTCGGTAATACTTTCTTTCTTGTACTCTCTCATCCTTGCAAAAATGAATCAAGTCTTGTAGTGTATGAACTCCTTTTGTTCTGTGCAGTGTTTCTTCCCAGAGAATCTGATCAGTCAGATGAAAACTCCTCTTTTTATTGTCAACGCAGCATATGATACATGGCAGGTAGGAACATAACGTTGCTTAGCTATTGTGCTTTGATGGTTATGCTCACAAAGAGTCTTTTTAATGGGTTATGATCAGATACAAAGCAGTATAGCTCCAACATCAGCAGATCCCAGTGGATTTTGGCATGACTGTAGACTAAACCATGAAAAATGCACCCCTGGACAAATGCGGTTCTTGCAAGGTTGTTCTATACATCATAAAACTTGTGAGCTTCATTTCTTTAAGTGTTGCATCACACTAACTGTTTTTAATCTTTGTATCTGAGAACAGGATTCAGGGATCAGATGCTGAGAGTAGTGAAAGGCTTCTCAATGTCTAGACAGAATGGTTTGTTCATCAATTCCTGCTTTGCTCACTGCCAAACCGAGAGGCAAGATACTTGGTTTGCAGATGATTCTCCTGTCATCAGTAAAAAGGTAAGGGCTCAAATCTTACAGAAGCAAAGGCTGTTTCCCTATATTGATCTCTTTGTAAGAATCTGATCTTGACTTTGTATATGGAATGTAGGCTGTGGCAATAGCCGTGGGAGATTGGTATTTTGATAGAGCAGAAGTGAAGTTAGTTGATTGTCCTTACCCTTGTGACAAGAGTTGCCACAACATGGTGTTCAGATGATTGTTTTAGAAAGCTTCTCTCAAATGGAGAGAGGCTTTGTATCCTTAATATTAACCAATGCCTCATTGGAGAAATGTATGATTGATTTTGCTTCTCTGGAAAACCATAATAAAACCAAAACAAAGTTTGGTCTTAAGAGTTTAAATGCAATCACAGAGAAATGATTCTTCTAACTAATCTTTTATTTCATAAAAATATCAAACAATATAATAGTAAAGGATAAGAGAAAGTGAAAAGATTAGAGAATATACAGAGTGTGTTGACACTTGACAACCTGGTTCTAGGGTGAGAGACAGCTATACAGTGTTCCCCACTTTGTGATGATTATATGTGTTAGTGGTTTTTTCCACCTATCATTCAAACTAACTTCTTCAACAACTCTGCAAACAATAATCTGATACTTTTGAAGTTTGAACCCTGTCCACTACTTTTTCTTCTCATTCCTTCTGAATCTTCTTTCATGGCTTCTGATTCTCAGACCGCAACTGCAACTACATCTGAAAAGGTAAACTAGCTCAGATATTCTCCCTCTGTTTCCACAGTATCTTATTACATATGCTTATACTCATTTATATATATTTACCGGCAACTATGAAAGTTGGTTTAATGTCAAGGAGATAGGATCTGTTTAGTACCTTTCACTGTTTTGGGAACGCTCAATAAGTTATTCTCTAAGAATCTGCAGAACTCTAGCAATAATTAGAACTAGAAAAATAACTTTTTAGAAAGTTGTTGATTATAGCACATGGATGTTATGAGAAACCATCTTTTGTCTACCGTTTTCTTCTTACACTTCTTAAGTATTATGATTATAAAGAAGCAGTAGTTAATGAGTTTTCTATTTAAGAAGAGAATAATAATAGAGGGTTTTACTTTTTACCTCATGCAGCCAATGGAGAACAAGGTGAACGAGGAGGCTAGTTTGATGGAGAAAAAGATTGTTTTGGTGGAAACTGTGGATGTGGTGAAGGATAAACCTGTTTCAGACTCAAACCTGACGGTTGATAAGGAAGAGGAAATTGATCAGACTCCTGCTGGTGAACCGGAGAAAGAACTACCTGCAGAAGTGGATGAGGCTGCAGCAGTTGTGAAAGCAGATGAATCTACAGATAATGAGAAGGTAGCTGAACAAGTGGAACTTAAAGAACCAACACTTGTGAAAGAGAGTGTTGCAGAGGTTATTGTTCAAGCAGTTGATGAGGAGAAACCAGAAGGGAAAGGAAAAGATGAAAATGATGAGGAGAAGGTAGCTGAAGAAGTGGAGCTTAAAGAACCAACTCTTGTGAAAGAGAGTGTTGATGAAGTTGTTGTCGCGGAGAAAGCAGAAGAGAAGCTAGCCGTGGAGAGTGTTGCTGAAGAAGACAACAAGGATAAGTTGGAGGAGAAGATGGTTGATGTTTCTGAATCAACAGATGAGGTTGGAGGCAAACAGGTGGAACCAGTTGATGTTCCACTTTCTGGAGAAGTATCTGCAGAGACTGTAGATGTTGAGGTTCTTGAAGTTGTGGCAAAGCCAGAGACTTCTGAAGAAGTTGAGGCTCAGCCTGAGAAAGCAAAGGAATTGGCACCAGAAGTTGAAGTAGTAAAAACACCTGAAACAACAGAACAAGCTAAGGTAGAGCTTGAAGGGAAGCTGGATGATAGTATTGTTGAGACTAAAGACTCCTCTATCAACTCCAAGGATGAACAGACTTCTGAATCTGGTTCTGCTTTGTGCCCTAAAGAAACTGTACCGATAAGCCAAGATTCGGACACTTCCCCCAAAAAGGAGCCTGAAGGAGACACTTGTTCTCTTCCTGATGTCACTGAGAAGACTATTACTGAAGAGAATCATTTCGTGAATGAACCATCAAAAGATGAAAAAGCTTCTGAATCTGTTTCTGCTACTTGCCCTGAGAGAGTTGTTGCGACAAACCACGTCTCAGACACAAACCCTGAAAAGGAAGCTCAAGGAAACGTTTCTTCTCCTTCTGATGTCATTGAGAAGGCCATTACTGAAGAGAAGCAAGTGGTGGAAGAACCATCAAAGGAGAAAGTGAGTGAAGAAGCCAAAGATGTTGTAACTAACCTGGCTACAGAAGATGAGAACATCACGAAAGATACTGAAACACCTACTGCAGAGGGAAAGAGCCAAGAGACTTTGAAAGAAACTGATACAAAATCAATTACAGAGAAAGTAGCAGAGGTTGTAGAAACAGCAACTGTTGCAAAAGAGATCGATGAGGAGAAACAAGAACCAGAAGTCACAACCAAAGAAGTTAAACATTCAAGAAGCATTATGTCAAAGGTGAAGCAGTCTCTTGTTAAGGCAAAGAAAGCAATCATTGGGAAGTCTCCAAGCTCTAAGACTATCTCCACTGAAGAAACCAAAGAAGAGATCAAAGCCAAGTGATGGGTTCCTTGAAGTCCTTCAAGTATTTTAATTTCTTTTATTTGTTTTGTTTCGTGTGGGAGAAGAAAGCAGAACATTCTTTTTCTTTGTTGTATGGCTTTATGTGGTTGGTTATAAGTTATATCTGTAATCATTCATCATACAATGGTTTGGCTTTGTGTTATGGATGTGTTGTTGAGACATTCTAGACGTGTAATTCTTCAGTAATCCAAAATGGGCCGTAATGGGCTTATATTAAACTCCAGTAAAGGTCCAAAAATGTGTAAGAGTGGATCCAAATGCCTCCGGACCAACGTCGGTCGAAAAGATAAGAACAGGTAGTTTTAAAGGCAAGATATTACCACCTATTTTATGACAAAGAAAGAAAAAAAAAAAGAGGAACCATTTTGATTAGGGTATCATGTTTAAAGTAGATCTATACATCTAATATTGTGTGTGGGGTGTCAATTTGATGCCAGTGTTATGCGTTGGTGTCGGCCATAATATTTTATATATAATCAAGAGAATATAAATTTAGTGATGGTCATTTTGAGTGTGAATAAAGCAACTTTATGAAGAAAGAACATATGCTATTATGCTGAGGCACGTAGCCAGACTAGAATGATCCACACTTGAGTCACTAAAGGATGTCACAACTTTCTTGCTTTGCTCCAGAGATTATTCATGACATCTAAGCTATGTTGTCATAAGTCTATTTAGCAAAAAAAAAAAATGTTGTCATAAGTTTAGATTCATAAGTTCAAAAAAAAAAAAAAAAAAAAAAAAGTTTAGATTCATACTATATAATAATATGCAGGTCTTGCATATGTATATATCTACAGTCAGCAATGCATCTTTATTGATACCCGTACGATACAACGAATACAAACTGAGAATTGAACATACCAAAGGAGTGTAAAGTAAAGAAGCATATGGACTTGACACGTGAGAGGACGGCGGGTTGATGTGTTGACAGACCTGAAGGCATGTGAATTTTCCACGTGTTATGATCCTGTTGGTAGAAGGTGTGAGAGTTATATGTATATAGGCAGTATGGCCATACCTCTCGCCGACCTCCAAGGCGGAGATTGTCCCGGCCCACATTCGTATTCCGACAACAATATGGTTTGATAGTAATGTTAAGGTTTTAAAACATACATTGGTTGTGCTTGTGCTTGTGCTACGTGTACCTTGTGGGTTACGCCACTTAATTTTTTGACAAGTACCGTGACGTTTAGTCAAATTTGAGCTTTTCACTTGGTCCTAATCTTAAAACCTTAACTTTTTTTTTTTCTTTTGTGAGCAAAAGAGTCTTCATTTCGGTTAATAAGTTAATTCTAGGTTAAACATTAGTCGATGTTACAAAAAAAATGGGTTAAACATTTGTGGAACACGCTTATTTAGACTGTTAGAACAACATTAATCCCACCTCTTAAGTGAGTTCTTAAGAGGTGGATCCTATAATTATTATAAAATCCAACTTTTAAATCTCTTAAGCAAAAGACAACTCTTGTGTTTTTTTGCGGATTCCACTGACACGTGACTATCTTCGTTTAGTTAGTTTTTAGTTTTAAAAAAAATCAGATAAAAGGAAAATAAAAAATTAAGAGCCAAATAAGAGTTAATGATGCTCTTATGTTTCGTACATGCCATTTAATTACTCCCACATCATCTTCAATTTAAATGATATATAACTTCTCCTTTAAATTGAGTTTTTTTGGTGCCTAGTTGATAAAATTGAGAAGATACGTTTATGTCATCACAGGACACATTAATATCATGTGTATCATATGACTTCAATCCTAACATAGGGCATTTTAGTTTGAATATAACTGTTATTAATGTTTTGATCATTTTGATTGACTCAAACAGTAATATCATGTATATCATATGACTTCAATCCTAACATAGATAATTTTAGTTTGAATATAATTGTTATTAATGTTTTGATCATTTAGATTGACTCAAACAGTAATTCAAGTATATCATATGACTTCAATCCTAAAAATATGGAATTTTAGTTTGAATATAATTGTTATTATTGTTTGGGCAAATCTCTCAAATAGCCTTCTTTTAAATTTTTATGACAAAAATAAACCCTAAAAATTAAAATGACCAAAATAACACTTTTTATTTTGAAAATTTTAAGTTTTTTTTATTTTTCTTTTTAAATTTGAAACCCTATCTCCAAAACCCCATTCCTCAACTCTAACAAAAAAATCTAGGATTAGTTAACCCAATGGGTATAAATGTATATTTAATAAAACATTTAAGTGTTATTTTGGTCATTTTAATTGTTAAGGTCTATATTTGTGATAAAAAAAATTTAGGTCTATTTTAATCATTTTCTCTTATTGTTTTGATCATTTAAACAGAAAAATATAGAATCCATGCAATATGTAAATTATTAATTTGAGAGTTATGGTTAATTAATTTGTTTGAAGTATAATTAATGGATATCTACTAGCCTAGAGAACAAGGATTCCAGCAATATATAAATTATTAATTTGCGAGTTATGGTTAATTAATTTGTTTGAAGTATAACTAATGGATATCTACTACCCCAGATAACAAGGATTCCTGCAATATGTAAATTATTAATTTGAGATTATCTATTCCAAAGAACAAGGACAAGGTTTACCAAAACGAAAAAAAAAACTTGTCCTCAAAAGAAAAGGGACAAAATACAGAGTAAGCACCACGTGGCTTGGCTCATAAAGTCTGGTGTATATATAGCGAGAGGATGTCAAAGAGTCCCAAATCATCAAGAGAAGTTATCTTTCAACTTAGTTTGCTTATCTTAAAAAAAAAATCAAGAGCTTCAAAATGAGTACAGCTACTTTCGTAGAGATCCTTCTTGCTATCCTCTTGCCTCCTCTCGGCGTCTTTCTCAAGTTTGGTTGCAAGGTACAATTTATCTGCACTCTGACTACTTCTTTGATTTTCTTTTCAACTTATAATTACTCGTATATTAAACTATCAACAAATTGTTTTGTTTTTTTACAGGTTGAGTTTTGGGTATGTTTGATTTTGACACTGTTTGGTTATATCCCCGGGATCGTCTACGCTCTTTATGCCATCACCAAGAACTGATTGCTCATATCCCCTCTGTTCTTTCCTCTTGGTCTCTCCTCGTAAGCTTTCTCTACTATCTCTCTCCCTGGTTACGTAATTTTATAATTGTATACTACATACGTACGTATACTAACGTACATGTGATGACTATAGAACGAGTTTTGGTTAAGATGAGTTATATTTTATTTCATTTATTGTCTAAGGAATTATACTGACAAAAGTTTAATTTTACATTTGTCGTTGTTGTGTAGGGGGAATACTGCTTCATCGTGTTATCTCTTTTTTTTTTTTAACAACTGCTAGCTTCATCGTGTTATCTCATTTGAACTGATTCATTTATGTTATGAGTAATTAATTATTGTTTTATTATGAGATTTATGCTCATATGACAAAGAAACCGTTGGTTTATTGAGGACCTTCTTTATTTCGTGTTATAAACTTATAATTATTGGTAAAATGTTGGAAGTGGCGTAGGTCTGACTTGGACCACTACTTTAGAAACTGAAATCCTACTTTATATAATTTCATGGTCACGTCTCTCAACTCACCACAACACAATTTTACACCATATGATAAAATTCACGTGGTCCATGAGATACGCAACACAATCATCATCCCCACCACCTGTTAATAACCCAGTTTTAAAAACACGATTCGTTATTAATATAATCGAATTGAATCGAGTGTACGATTAATAACGACTTTGGATTCTTGGATGCCTACCGAATTTTAAGCGTCTACATTAGTGTCATGCGTAAATACTCTCTCCATTTCAGAATACTTGTTATTTTAGACTTTCCAGATAAAATTCATTAATTTTATATAAAATTTTATTTTTCTATTAGTTAAAAAATGGTTAACTGTATATGTAATTGTGTTTTTTCAACAACTAATTTTATTTATATAAAATGTATCAATACATATGAGATAACAAACATACAATCAAACGTAAATAAAATTAATATAAATATTACAACACTTAAAATAAAATATGAAGAAACTCTCTTAATGCGATCTTTATATTTGGATATCGACCATGCGATGAAATTCCAAATTCTTCTATGTTTTCTTTGTTGTATAACATTTACCAGCTTCAAGTTTACATCTATAGATGTCCATCGATAAAAAACCCAATATAATGATTCTATCAAATGAAATAAAAACTCGAACTGCCAATTTTCAACGATTATAAGAACATCGCCATACAATAAAAAAATTGCTTCTCCAGTTTTCATTATTGCATCCATGACTCTAATATATTGTTTCCATGGTGGTTTCCATGGCAATTGTTTCCAAAGTAAAGCGGTAAGAAAAAGTTCATTACCACTTAAATCTGGATTTGGCACAAACAGAGTGCTTGTCTTGTCGTCGATCATGGTCATGAAGTCCATACCGGAGATAGCAACAACGAATTGAGAGAAGAAAACAGTCAATCCATTGTGAATAAATCTGAATTTCTTCTCCATTGGAGAGAAGAACAATACATATAAAAATTGTTTTAAAAAGAGTTTCTAAGATGCCATCACGGAGAGAAATGAGAAGTGTATAAATAAATACACCAAACACACACACCGTAAAAACAATCCCGTACGAAACAGAAGTGAAAAAATGAATTCTCGTTTTGGATTCTCTTTAAAAAAGGAAAAAAAAGTGTTTAGATTTGGGAAGCCATGGAGAGACAAGGAAGATGAAACATAGAAATCACATACAATCTGACGATGGAATCTCCATTAGACACAGTGAAATCGTAGAAGAGATGACAGTTAAAACATCGCCTTTACGATTGTCTTGGAACCGTCTCCCTAACTACTTTTTCATGTAATTGTGTTTTTATCTTGAAAATATGTAAAATTACATGTTTTTTTAATCTGTATGCAGAAATCTAGAATGACAAATAAAGTAAAATTGAATGATTAAACCATATTAGCGGTGAAAATGAGGATGACAAAAAAATGTATGTGATATCGACAGCCAACAAATTTATAGTAATTGACGTATGTAGCATGATGCTAAAACATTACTTTTTGGGTTTATTTGTCGAATCATTAAGAACAAAAAGAAATTTAGTTTTGTGGAAAGAGAAAGTAGGAGAGAAAGAAGATTTTTGATTAGTAAGTGAATTATAATTTTTTGTGTATATTTGATCTAATTTCTTTTACTTTTTATCTTAACTTGAGGTATCTTGGTTGAAATCCATTATTTTTTATCTTAACTTGAGATATCTTGGTTGAAATCCATTATTTTTTATCTTAACTTGAGGTATCTTAGTTGAAATTCAGTAATCTCCTAAAAAAAGTTAGTAAAAACGACTAGTCCAACCTTTAGTTTTTTTTTAAAATATGGTATCACCTTCGTCTGACTAAGTCTAAAGCATTACTTGAATGGAGAAAACATATACTTTCTTGTTGTTAACTTACCTCGTTTGTGTTTCAAAAAAAAAAACTTACCTCGTTTTTTCAATTTTGGTAAAAAGAATATATGTATTCATTTTTGGTCGCTACCATGTTTACGTCGATTTCACGTCAACGATAATGGAAGCTTATCAATATCTACTTTTGTTTGGAACGGCATGTCGTTTTGTTGAAGGGATATATCCTGTCATGTTTTATCTACAAAAATAAATGCAACGTAAGTGAATGTAACTAACGTTTATTTACAGGAATCTTTTTAATGTCGGTCACAACATTAAATCGCGAGATATAATTGAGATATATTAACAATACGTGACGTTGACTCTTAGAATTTGGAAATTGGATCATAACGTCTGACTAAAAAAATCATAATGTTGAAATACATGTATCACCGCCGACATCACGGGTATGATGACGCGGTAAGCGAGCTATACGGATGCTCCTAATGCTACACGAAATATAAGGAAAACTATATCTCAAAATGAAAACAAAAAAGGTAAGCACCACGTGGCTTTAAGTATCTCGAAAATTAGGTCTATATAATGTGAGAGGTACATGATGAAGGAGAGAGCAAAGAAGACACACTTTGAAGCTTTAATAATATTCTCAGAAATTTCAAAAAGAGCTTAAAAGAAGATGGGAACAGCTACTTTCATAGATATTCTTCTCGCTATCCTCTTGCCTCCTCTTGGCGTCTTTCTCAGATATGGTTGCGGGGTAATTACTTATTTTCATATATTTTCAAATAAGTCCATTCAGAATATATATGTAGTTCTTGATTCACATATTCACAAAATTAAAAAGGGGATTTTTTTCCTTGTCAGGTAGAGTTTTGGATATGTTTGGTTTTGACACTGCTTGGATATCTTCCTGGGATCATCTACGCCCTTTATGTCCTCACCAAATAATTCACCATCTATCCTCTCTTCTTGTATCTTCATCTCCTTGTAAGCTTTTTCTCTTTACTCTCTATATGTTAACATATACACACATGTCATGAAGCCTATGGAACAAGATTATAAAAAATTCATCTTTTTGATATAATTCTCTTTACTTAGTTTCATTGGGAAATCAAGTATTTGTCTGGTGGTGGGGAACCTTGTGAAAAAAAAAATTAGGTGGTGAACACTAAAGACTATGTGAATTCTGAAATTTGCTTAAAAGAATAATAATTGTAAAAATTAACAGAATTCTGTTATGAAAAATGATCATTTCAATTTAATTTAGATTATTTGACTTCTGTTGTTGTTGTTGTTATGTATAGGAACAGCTGTTTGGCCCGTGTTCTCCTCTACTCTCTCTGTGTGTGACTAGCTGATACATCGTTCCTTTCATCAAATGGTTTTATGTTTCGAGTAACTTATTGATAATTGTTGTGTTAGCGTTATTATGTAATTTTCTGTTGATATAAAGAAGATATCTTTTGTTTTGTGTGAATTTTAACTTGTTCGTTTTTTTTTAAGTCATATACTTTGAAACTGGAAAATGTGTTGCCTTGGTGAGGCGGTTCATAGGACCACTATTAAGTCAAAACCTTACGTTATAAACCCATCATTTCATCACCATTGAATTGGCCCTAATTACTTGGCACCATTTGCGATACCCACGAGGCACAACAAACGCATTCACCCACCCACCGGTTGTTATACCTAAGCATACAACAACAACATCATGATGTTATGTATACAGTTGCTTGTTCTCACATTTGTCCAAGCAATCAAATCAAATCAAGGTTCAGTTGAGCACTGATTTAAACTCAACACCAAGGGTCCAAACACAACTCTCTAAGAGTTGAGACAAACTCCCTCCATGCACTTTTGTTTATATACTATACGATAAGCAAAAATGTTAAGCAGCATGAGAAAGAATGTGTTTGTTCTAAGTAACAAAACATGAAAAGCAGAGAAGTTTACTTAGAGCGCAATCATCCACAGAAAGTTTGCGATAAGGGAGGGCAACAACCATCAAAAGCCATCCGACATATACCACATGCCTTGTCTTGAGCATCCCATGTTCATTTGGACCATGAAGCAACTGCATGCCATATGTTCTCCCAAAGTAAAACAAAAAAACAAAATCATATAAACCTGCAGATTTAACTTACTCTCGAATTGAACATACCAAGAGATTCAAGTCTCAAGGGTTCGTGTCCGAGAGTCACTTCAGTACTCCAACTTTGGTTTCCAATTCAATCGCCTCTGTTCTGCTCTCGATGATCATCTCACACAGGGGATTGATTCACAGGCTCTCTGGTTCAATTCCCCATCAAACCGGTCTTGTAACTTAACCCAGCTCCTGGTTTATTCATTTGGTTCGATTAGTTTTTCTTGGGTAAGAACAAAAACTACTGGGCCTAGGTTGGGCTGGCTGCCATATTTTATCTCTTGTGCTCTACCCATTAAAAACACGTAATGATCATGAGCCTCGATAGCTTTTTTTTTAATCACAACATAAACAGACTTTAAGAAGATTATACTAAGAGAAAATGATTAAAATAACACTAAATTTTTTTTTTATCACAAATATAGTACTTAAGAATATAAATGACCAGAATAGTATTTACTGTTTTATCAAAAAAGATAAATATACACATATATCTCAATGATAAATTAATTTAGATATTAGGGTTTAGGGATAAGGGGTGGGATTTAGGGTTTAGGTTTAGAGTTGGGGAGTAAGGTTTTGGGAATAAGAATTTAATTTTTGAAAAGTAAAAAGAAAAAATTTTCAAAAGATATTTTATCATTTTAGTTTTTGAATGTTATTTTTGTGACATAAAATTAGAAAAGTGTTATTTTGGAGATTTGCCCTTATACAAACCAAACTAGTAATTAGATATTCATATGAACAACGAAACAAGGTTGTCCACCCTGGTGGAGCCTCGATAGCTGAACTGGCTTTCATAGAAGTGTTGATACTTGATTCAAGTAATCAAATGTTGGGTGTTCAAAAAATAAAAGAAAATCATGAGTCAAATATTTCATTGAAGTGTTTTTTAGATCTGGCTTTCGTATCAGTGTTGTTTTAGGACTTAGTTTCGTAAAAGTCATTTTTGTACTGCACTTTTTATATAAAGTTTAATTTCATCCATGTTAAATATATTAAATAGTGGATAAAATAGTGGGTAAAAACATGATGAAATTTCTTGCATATACATGTAAATTTTAGGCTCGAAGCTCTTGGAATGTTCTCAAATAATAATCAGAGTCTGATCTGGGCACATCTGTATCCGTAACAAATATTTGGTCTTAACCCCCAAAATTTTATAGGTTTTTTACATAGACATAGGATCCCAATTTATGATTTTTTTTTTTAATAAAAAATCTAAATAAATGTTTATAGATGTGAGTTTGTTTTCTTCTTAACAATAGAAATATTCGTTTGTTTTTGTCGTTGTAATTTTATTGGGATGGGAACTGATCCTGGGGTTGAACAAAAAGAGTGGTGATGCTGATGCATGTTAGGTGCAAATAGATGGTACGCATTACTCTAAAATTAGTCGACCCAGCAGAGACTATTAATGAGTCTTGCAATGATTCCACATAGTACTCAATGATCTTTTCATGATTCCGACTTTATTTTGTGTTTTGTCGGCAAATTGAACTAAATAATTCCCTTTCTGCAGTTATCATTTGTGGCTAAAACTATATTTTGTACACATTTTCTATTTGTCTCTTCAAAAATTATGAACCAAAATTATATACATGAAATTAATCACCACAACTTTCATGTGAGTCAAAGTAAGTGTTAAGCTGTTGTTTGTTTTTTTTCTTTCTTTTTTCTGCTTTGTGCTGCGATTTGCGAGTGATATTTGTTTAGCGAACGAATCTTGTAGACTGAGACACCAACAAATCATGAGTTATATACGCACAACTACGAGATCACTATACTTATAAACATTAAAATAAAATAAAGGGAATATTTTGGTTAATAATTGGCAGTAAAAGTTAGGGCGTATGAACCAAGAAAAGGCTCTAAGCCAAGCAAAAGATAAGAAGAGGAATCAAAGTACTCATAAAATGTACCTTTTGTAAAAACAAAACCTGCAACATTATCTGTGTGTGGGGAAGAACTGGCCAGGGACCTCCCCTCCATGCAAATAATATCTATCATATAAAGATTTTGATTCTACAGCTTGTTTCAAATCTTTGCATTTTTGTTATTTTATCTAAAATGAATCTCAGTATATGATCGAGCTTCTCTGCTAAAAGGTTCTATACTAAACACTCATATTTGTAGACTAGGCCGATGTTAATAAGTGGTCGTAAGCCGGACATAAAATCCGGACCCCGAAATTCAAACCAAACTGAAAAATCCGATTTGTTGTCCGACCTGAAATGTGAAAATACCTGAAGTCTTGTATGATAATACAAAAAATATCTGAATCCGAAGTCTTATTAACTGAATCCGAACGGGTAACCCGAAATATCCGAAATTAATAGTTAATATAAATAATTTAAATATATATATAAGTATTTCAAATATTGAGTTCAATGTTTATTTTGATATAATACATACATTAAATTTTAAAATACAAATAAATACCTTAAATATCTAATTAGTTATCAATAAATATTTTATAAATGCATATTATTTACAAATTGTTTTCATGATTGATTTAATATTTTTAAATTTTTTATCAGTTTTATGTTTTTTTCTGTCACACAATCAGTTTTATGTTTTGATTTAAAATTTTATTTTTTTACTTCGGATATATTTAAACCAAATCGATATAACCCGAGTCCGAACGATATATAGTTACTTTATAAGTTTTGGGACCTATGCGTGTAAACTCGAAAACCCAAAAATCTAAAATACTCGATCGGAACCCGAACGCCCAGGCATGAGTGGTCGAATTGGTTTAGTTCCTTGGCGTGTCACACAATTCATGCCTCTAAATAAGAACGAATGACTTGGTCTAGATTACTTATCTATTAGATTATGTTCTAACAAATAGTCGATGTAAGATCTGTAACCTGAACCGATCCTAAAATTTAGAAAGTCATAGACATTTTAAAGTAACTCTTAATAACTTTTTTAAAAAAAAAAATTGAGCCATATAACCTATATAAATTATCTTTCGGAATTTAGGAACCGAGACAAATGTCTCATTAGGTGTTATCTATTATCGGTTAATGACTAGCTACATCCTGAAATATGAGTATTTTGGAGAATCGTTAAATCTTGTTATTACAGTTTTTATATATCATTCTTATAAATTAAAATGAACAAATTTTGGTGATGATTAAGTTTGGATGTCTATCGAAAAATAATATTCTTAAAGTTAACCAACTTTAAGAACCTTCTGTTCATATATAATTATGACGATTTTTTGGTGTACATAGTTATGACGATTTTACGAGGAATGAGGAACAAGAACTATACAAAGTCGTCCATATGATCTGATTTAAATTGTTGAACTATCTAGAAGAAAACAACTGTAGAGAAAGATCGATTATTTATATTTTTACTCCAAAAGATCAATTATTAACTACAGTAAAGACGCAATCAATTAACTCACAAAAGGACACATCAAATAAATAGAAAACATTCTACATAGGATCAAATCAACCCTTTATCATCATATTCATCATCATGCCTTCTCAGATTGGTAAGGAGAGAGTGTTTGGCGCTCAGATTCGGAGACACGAGTGGCATGAAACTTGGCGATGAAGGCAGAAGCTTTGCGGTCGATACCAGGTTCAGCCACCCAATAACGTTTGTCTTCGTCACTAGCCATTGCTTTGCGAGTGTAAACGACGTCGTCCCACGAGGCGTCTACTTCCACTCTGTGAGATCTTCGTGTTTTAAAGAAGCTGAAGAGAGAAAATCTCTTGCTACTTTTTGATCTGTTTCCTCCCATTAGTATTTGTCTAGTTTTGGAACAGAACAAAAGGAGACACGAAAATGAGGAGAGGTTGTTTTAATGTGTTGGTGCTATAAGTGGGGATGTGGGTTTGTGCATGTATTTATAAGGAATAATGGTTCACCAAAACAGTAGCGAGTGAAGCAACAATATAGTAGTTTAACCGCTTATCCGAAAATGTTAAATAACAGTACGTAGCATGCAGCGACACTAGTCTAGTAATGTTTTTCTCTTAATCCCGAAAGTATACTAGATCCATAGAGAGATTCAGACTAATCTCCAAACGAGTGCTGCAGCTCATACATAAACACTCACTCTAAATATTCAAATGAGTCGTAAGATAGATCTATATCCGTATATAAGATAAGATGTAGTGAAGTGTTTTCAAATTCGGATTGTTTAGCAAATCCCAAAGTTCACCTACCACTAGACCACCATCTTCTGGTTAGTAATGTTTTTTTTTCAATTGCCTTAATTAATAATTCGATTTAATTCAGTTTTAGTTAATTTGTATGTTTTCTTTTTATAAAATGTGTTGTTTCAAAAAAAAAACTCATTGATCTTTTCTTTGGTTTGTTTTAAATATCTTTCAGCAAAATACTAAATTATGCACCTCTTTCTCAAAAGTATATCAAGAAACTGAAAGTTTCTAGATGTTTTATCATGAAATTTTCCTCACTCGTTGGCATTTTAATTTTTGGGGAGTTTATATCAATTCAAGAAACAATGTCAGATTTTCAAAAATAATAACTGTTCAAAATAAGCATGCAAATCATAATAACCGGGAATCTTAAGGGATATCGAACGCATGGGATGATGTCACGTGGAATATGAACACAATCGGATGGTGGTGGAGGTTTTGTAAAATCTCATGTAATAGTGTGTTGGTTTCAACTGACCCCCAAAAGCATTGGTGAATAATGGTGAGGCATCCAAGTTCTCTGTTTTGTTTGGTCTTTTATCTCACACTTTCTTTCTTCAACCTCTTTTCCCCTTTATAGTATTCTTTTTCGAAACCAAATCTTTTCAAGAAATTGTTTTATTATTGGTTTTTTAGTTAACATTGGAATCTTCTTTTATTATTATCAGACTCAAACATACTCTTATACTTTCTTCCCCTTCTTTTCTTTCCCCACTAATCTTAGCAACTCTTGCCTAACTAAGGACACTTTCAATTTTCCAAAACACTTTCCATTTTACTCGTTAAACCCTCAACTAATTGATTTGGAAGATTGTGTTTAAGTTTGATTCCAACTTTATTTTTCACGAAACCATAGTTATTGCTTTGCTGTTTCCTCGCCGATTAGCAATTACTAATACGTAAATACGCACGAGTTTAAAATTAAAAAAAAAATACGCACGAGTTTTCTATGGTTTCGTAGAAAATAAAGTTGGGTTTGTGCTTTGCAACTATCTTGAAATTAAGTGGGGGAATTAATAATATCGGTTTCACATTAGCACAAAAGTTTAGTATATATTAATCCAAAAAGAAATACTACTATAGAGATTTAAGTATAAAAAGTCTGTATACAATTTGGCAGGGATGCAGAATTGCTATTATATAAGTTTAGCACACAGTCAAAAAGAGAAGTGAAAAAGAATCTGTTGTAGAATAAAAAGACTCAATATTTAAATAGGACAATAAGAGTTCTTATTAAGTGGAATATATCCAAGAACTACAAAGCTATACACATAATCACTAATTAATATATATTAGGCCGCTTTCATAAGATAATATCCTAATCTTCTTTGGTAATCTTTCACCTATAAACTGCATCTCTGTTAGCTGTAGAACTAGCATGTTAAAATGGAACATATTTTAAGAATATTGGAAGCTGGTCTTATGTTCTTGAAATTCGTAATAGGAAATATAAGATGGGTCTCGTAACTTGTACGAAACCAATAGACCTATAAGATAACAAAAACAATTAGCATTATTATGGGTCGTAAAAAAAGAAACAAAAATTGAGCACCAGAGTTCTTGCTGTAACAATTAAATCATACTTCCTCAGATAGGAAAGATATTAAAAGAGAGTGCATGAAGTTAGTCTCGAATTAATGTTATGTAGCTGATTGGCTACTGGTGTTGTTGATGGTGACGCAATAACTCAAGGCTCAAAACACGTGAATCATTTCTAAATCCTATTAAAATATAAAAGTTAAACATATCTTATGTTTCAAGAGTAAAAATTCTCCACTCATCAACTATTCGTTTTCATTTACGTGGAACCAAATTAATCAGCAGAAGACGTACTCAAACGATAGCCAACAGATTGATAAAGCTCCAACTTGTAGAATCATTTCTATATTTATATTGCTAGTATGGTTCGTTGCACTAGTTTAAGATTATATAATTCAAATTAATTAGCTGTAATCAATTACAATGATTATATAGTAATGTTTTTGTCTGAAACGAAACGAATATAAAGCATAATTATGCACCCTAAAATAAAAGCGAATCCACATTCCAATAACATCACTTTCTAAATTGTGGATGTTGTTTTTCTTGGATGAAATCGTAATGAACGACCATGTGTTTTACGTAGTATGAGACTCCTATGATAGAAGACACGTTATTTAGCTTTAGATGGCACGATGTTTCGAATGAATTAAGCGACATGGCATGATGTGTTCATGTCAGAGAGTGTCCAGAATGACATGTAGTATGTTTTATGCTATGAGATGAGAAGCTTGAAGGCAGAATAGGTTCTGAAATTTGGGTTGTTGTAACCAATTTAGTTAAGATTCTAGTAAAATATTTTGTTACAAATATGACAGATAAATATATGTAAATTATTTTCAAAATTTTAGGAGTTATATGCCAATGTTATACCTACCTATGCCCAAGAGACAAATTAAACCACTTCTCCTTAAAGAGAGTTGAGAAGAGAATGAGATAGAAAACACCAAACTCTTTTTAAAAAAATCTTTGTTGACTTTTACAAGATCATAACCCCCACAATAATTCACTCTTTCCCTACTCATTATAACAAACAAAAGGGTTACAAAATTATCATACTGTGATTGAATAATAGTAACAAAAACAGAGAACTAAATAGAGAAGATATGGCTTTCTCAGACTGTTGTTCCCTCTCTAGTTTTCGTGTTTACAGGTAACATCAGATAAAAATCACAAACCGAGCCATGGACACTGCTTCCTCGCATGTTCTGGTACTAACTTAGCCACCATCTCCACAGGCACACCTTTAAGCTCTGCTTGCACATAACACGTTAAAAAGGACCATGAGTTTAAGTCACTTAGGCAGCAATTTGAAGATAAGGAAGAATGTGGTAGTACCATGAGGTTTGAAGTTGAATAGCGGTGGAAGGAAACGTCCATTAGGCAACCGTGCATTTGGATCTCTAAGCTCATCAAAGAACGGGTGGACCAATGCATCCAGCTAATAAGCAAGATCACAAAATTTCAAGAACATAAGATAAAGAGACAAGAGATGTTGCCAGAACGAAGGAAAGTGAGACAAAGTTGGAAATACTCACAGCAGAGCAACGTAGATTAGGAGAGTATTGAAGAAGCCTTGAGACCAAATCAACAGCTTCAGGAGGCATCCTCTTGTGGAAAATCTGGATTCCAATGATCAAATGTTTCAGTTCACAGCTAGTCAAATAAGACTTTTGAACTTGATGGTTCTTACCTTATGCCATGGATGAGCTTTAATCTGAGGGAACTTGAACTCTGTGTAATTGGGGTTCATGCATTTGATTTCTTCCCTTGTTGGTGTTCCCAAAACCTATTCAAATCATGAACATAGTCAATTAGCATTACAAAACAGAAGAGTGTAATTCTGTAAAGTTACTAGAGTGGAATTTTTCTACCTTTATAATCTCTACAAGTTGATCAACACCGCTCTCACCAGGGAACAATGGCTGGCATAAACAAAAAAGAACAGATCAGAATTTGAAACAGAGCAAAGATGTTTCTTGTTGAAAGTTTTATTACCTGTCCAAGAAGAAGCTCGGCGAGAACACATCCTGTAGACCAGACATCAATGGCTGTAGTATACTCAGTTGCTCCAAAAATAAGCTCAGGTGCTCTGTAATACCTTGAGCAAATATATGAAATGTTTGGCTCTCCTCTAACCTGTTTCAAGATTCACCATTCATCAATAAATGGTTTGAGCATCTCTGCTTCAAAAAGAGAGAGAGAGAGATTCATCAAACTCACCAATACTTTAGCACTTCCAAAATCACAAAGCTTCACTTGATGAGTGTGTGGATTCACCAACAAGTTTTGGGGTTTTATGTCACGATGACAAACGCCAATACAACGGTGAATGTAGGCTAAGGACCTAAATATCTGCCAAAACATATAGACGAAGACTATTAAGAAACTCCAAAAAGGTATATATAAGACAGTTCTTTGAAGTTAATATCTACCTGATAGGTGTAGAGTTTGACGTAGACGATAGGCATGCGTTGATTAAGTTTGTTGTAGTGTTTGATAACGCGGTGTACTGTCTCTGGAACGTACTCAAGGACCAAGTTGAGGTAAAGCTCGTCTTTCTCGGTTGTTGAGAAGAAGCAGTGTTTTAAAGACACTACATTAGGATGGTCAAGTAGCCTCATTGTTTGTAGCTCACGGTTCTTGTACCTACGGTCCTGTAAAACTTTCTTTATCGCTACAGTTTCTCCTGTCTCTAAACATTTCGCCTGATGAAAAACAAGGATCTTGTCAGTAGCAAAGACACATAGTTTTATCAAGAAGAGAGAAGAACAAAACTCAAAACTCACTTGGAAGACAACACCAAAGGAGCCATGTCCAACAACTCTCTCAGCCATGTAACTGATTGTCTGCAATTAAAACATCCAAGAAAATGCACTTAGAAACCGATAATCTGATCAAGTTACTTAAAAGGATCAAGAACGGTTACAAACCTGCTTTGGTTGGCCATTTCTTCCACCTATAGTAGTAACTATTATATGACCAGTCTCTGTGACATTGCCGTTTACTATTGTAGCTTCCATTTCCTGATGAACATCAATCAAAGTCAGTTTTAAAAAAACGACAATAATAAAAAAAAACAGAATCTGTTACAAAAAAAAAAACATACTTTATCATCTTGAATTTTCATGTGATTCATCTCCTCAGGTAATCTATCAACATCAGTAGCAGCGTTTCCATTAGAATCTCTAACCGTGGCGACACTAGGCTCTACGCCCACCGTGGCCATTTAGAACTTGTAAATAAATTAAAAGATTCTTCCTTTGTCACTCTTTAAATCTCAAATCAGATCAACCCTGCAGCAAAGTGTAATCGTTAGAACAGAAAGTTATAAATTTTTATTTGAAAGCTAATCTCAAGCCTCATCTGGAAAGCTAATCAACATAAAAACAAAAAAAAAAGAAAACAACAACAACAATCACCTAAAAATCAAGATCTAGCAATTAAAAAGGAGAAGGTATAAATTCATAAAAATTACCAAAAAAAAGATAGAAACTTTCAATCAAATTCATATTTTGGACAAATCTACCGATCTATAGACTCATAAGATCAGAGATGAAGATAAGAGAACATACCACAGGAAGAATCAGGAGGATATGAGTAGATCCACAGGAAGGGAGGGAAGATGGTTTGATGATGATGAATGCCTCTCTTCTTTTTTTCTCTCTCTTCTCTTCTTTTTTCAGTTTGGTCTGAATGGTAATAATTTTGTAAGAATAAAAATGGAAGCTTTGTGGCTGTGCTTTTTAATGAGGGGAGGTATGCTATAATGCGCTGGTGACAGTCATATCTTAAAAATCAAATCCAAAAATATTTTTAAAGAAATCAATTAATAAAGATAAGACATCGGAGTTAGTAATAAATTGGAGTTTGAAAGTACATCGGGTTTGGTTTTTCACCCTTTTTGAGTTTTGACCATTCAAAACTTCTTTTGCCAATGCCACCTCTCTTCTAATCGAATTACCTGTATTTATATATTAATGCAATCTACTAAAAACGTTGATCTTCCCTATTTTTTTAAATTTAAATTGATTAGTTGGAGTGACATACTTACCAAAAGATAACCCTAGAATAATTGTAGCTGGTTTAAATCTCAAGAAGCACTATTTAAACTCCATAAATTTAGTGGCACAGAAAATTTAATTGTGTCCTCTTTTATTGTTAACTTTTTTAGAAAAAGGAGTCAAACTTATAATGACAAGGTTGATAAAGCTAAACTGACTAAATTGCACTATTTCTTGTGTGATTTTTTTTATTTTTTCTACAGACGTCCAATAATTAGTTCATAAATATCATACAATTGTCTGCTATAAAATTAAAAGAACCTAGTTTAACAACCAACATCCATAAATATAATGGCATTCTCCAGCCAAGTATATAGTTTTTATAATGGTATTTTTAGTTTAATTGAAGAACCGAATAATATATAATAATTAAAATGGATGGGACATTTTGAAAATTTGGACAAAGCTGGTGAAGGTGGGGTCGGTGAGAAAAGGACAAAGTAGGAGTAGTTTGGCTGTGTTCTGTTTACTATTACATACATGAAATACGCATATATAATGGATATTATATCGGAATATGCCAAAGAGTTTACAGGTTGAACCGGGACCATGTGTCGAACGTGTCGGAGACGCAAGAAAAAAATTAAAAGCAGCAAGAAAAATAAAATTTTCAAATTTATCAGCGTCAGCGACCACTTTATAGGAATGGGAAACATATCTGCCGTCAGTAGACCACCGTAAAGTAACATGTGTTTAATTGGGCTTTGTAGCAGGCCTTGTGAAACAGATCAGGCCGAAAGTATGAACACCTCTAGCAAACAAGTCGTTTCAGTAGTAAAGCCCAGCATGGGAGAGTCACAGTTCAATATGATAGGGTTATGGAAACCTAGAGCTGACACTATCAAGGCTTGATGCCCTGATAGAGTACACTAGAGCTGCCATAAACCTGGTCACCTTGTCACTTGTGAACACTAAAGCCGCGGGTTTTGGAGGCACGACAAAGTCATGCATGATTAATATTAATTTGAAATATCCCCATAAAAGTGATGACTTTTAGCTGCATATAGGTAGATATGTGACAATTGGATTCAAGAACTTGATAAGTCAGAAACTTTGACGGTAGAGAAGCTGTTATATTGGCTGAAAAATAACGACTCTAACCTCCAAAAGGCAGCCGTCATTGGATTGGTCGGCAGCGTCTGAGGTCCAATGTCATGTGTTAAACGAAAAGACAAATACTAGATCATATCCACAAGCTCTGACGGGTCGATTTATAAGTGTCAACGCGTATACACTGAGAAATGCGAATGCCACTTAATTTGCCGATGCTATAAGAAAATGACCACTCCATAACGTAAGGGACATTTTTGGTATTGATATATGAGAATGTGTGATCCCAAATATGGCAACAATTCAAGGAGTTTCCTTTGTGGTTATACCAAATATAAATAAAAAGTTTTTCATAATCGAGAATAGAATCAACTATTTTGGATCCGAATTGATATTGAGCAATCTATTTTTTTTTTTGGACCAAACATTGACATACCTAGCATCCACCAAAACATATATCAACAACAATATGCAAGCAAGTACTTTGTGTTTTTTAACGTTTTTAATGAGATTTGGCTTGAGTTGCATGTATCGTAGCATCTCGAATTATAACCTGGCTAATCTTTATTTAGAATGTTATAGAAGCATGAGGACAATTATAAACAAAAGATATAGGAGGTCAGAAAGTGGTGGATGGTTCTTGAGCCTTGAAGGAATCAAAGAAGACATCTCACACTTGACCCCAATTATCATGCCACCTTCTCTCTCACGTCTCCATCCATTTTCGTTGTCATATTTTTTTTTCTTGAGGCTTTACTCTATAAACGTGTCACCTCGTTATTGGCAAAATCTCACATATTTCAATTGTTTAGCCATGAAACTATTTTATGGAGGATCAACAATTGAAATTATTTGTGTAACGTGTTAACTTTAATTTATTTTTATTCAAACAGAAAATTGTATTCAAATCCGCATCAGCATATATGACCACATAATATGTTCTAACATGTTGATCTAGCATCACTTGGATAACTGTCAAATATTATAGCCACTTAACGTTATGTTCTTTCAAACTATAAAATATTTGTCGTTCAGTTTATATAATCAAGACTGAGATAATCTTATCCCATTAGCTGACGTTCAGACAGTAAGCCGATTAGCTGTATTCTTACATAGCTCATGTATAAATCTAATTAGAAAAGAATGTACTCTGGATACATATGCAAGGACAAAGTATGATAAATGCACTCAATTTGTTTTAGATGTAGGACACACGAAATCTTTTTTTAACTTATTTCCAGTTTATTATGAATATTATTTTTCTCGTAAAAGAGAAAATAAAAACTCCTTTTCTTATTCAGACAGTAAGCCGATTAGCTGTAGTCTTACAAAGCTCATGTATAGATCTAGTTAGAAAAGATTGTGATCCGGATACATATGCAAGGACAAAGTATGATAAATGCACTCAATTTGTTTTAGATGTAGGACACATGAAATCTTTTTTTCACTTATTTCTAGGCCTGTTCAATACGGTAATACCGAACCAAACCGAACTGAACGGAACCGAAATAGACAATATGGTTTGGATTTGGTATATACCATATAAACCGAATGGATGTGATTTATAAAAACCGTAGGATTTGGATATGGTTAGGTTTATAACCGATCAAACCGAATAAACCGATCAAAACCGATAAGAAAACATATATATAAATAATATATATATTTACATGATAAATGATTTGTTATACAAGTTAACTTTTTTTGTTTTGTTAATATTTCATCTGAATCTTAGACCCGTATAGGAGTTCTCTTTCTCCTCCTATGGTTGAAGTCTTGATCTTAACACAAAATTGGATCCAAACTGCAGCTTTTTCTGATAAACAAAAGAGCATTGAACAGATGTTGGAGGAACATGATTTCATGGACTCCCTAGTAGAAGGTACGTAATTCATACTTTAGTTTGTAAGCATTGAGCTTTTAGTATTTACAAGCATCAGAGTTATTCACAATTTTTTTCTTTTATCTATAATTAAACGAACAGAATTGCGCGTTCGGTCAGAGGAGGAGTGACTTTGATGGAAAATGTTATGGGAGAGTGGAGAAACTTTTCTTTCGTGCTTTGGTTTTGTTTTTTCATTATTTTATTTTCACAGTTTTTTTGAGTTTTGGTTTTAGGTTTGATTATTTTATTTGATGATAGAAAGTAGAAGTGTTTCTATTTATTTTATTTTTTTTGACATTCTACTAGTTACACACATTTGGAGTTTTTTAATAAATGATAGCTTTAACAACATGATTCTTTAAAATTAATATAATATGAAACCAAATGAAATAATAATATTTTTGGTATAAAATCGAATAAACCGAAAACCGGTAGTATAAAAACCGATCCAAACCAAATTAGATATGGTTCTAATATGGAGCTGATTTTTAAAAATCGAAAAACCGAAAAACCAAAAAAACCGAACCGAAACTGGACCGAACACCAGATTGAACAGGCCTTATTTCCATTTTAATATGAATATTATTTTTTCTCGTAAAAGAGAAAATAAAACTCATTTTTTTATAAGAGGCTTGAGAAAATTAAAGCTGTTCGAGAAGAAACTAAATTCAGATAAAGAGGTCTCACATGCGACGCACTCTGAGCAAAAGAGTCGGACCGTAGGGTCTGTAATCACATGCCTTCTCGTAATACATTTATACTTTTTAAGTTATTTCATTTTTGGCATATATATATAGCTTCTAATGTAGTTGTTGTTCAAACAAAAAATATATAGCTTATAATATCAAACTATATTGTCTTAACAACTATATTGAAATTTGCACTGGGTGAATGTGCCATTGATTTTATAAATTCAGATTTAGAAGTAGGGCATAGAAATTAGATGAACATCCTCTAATGTGGAATATTTGAAGGTTAGAATTGAAGACAAGTGGTTGTTATTGAAAGGTAGCTATCTGATAATTAGTTTCCTAAACACTATGATATCCAAATAATTTCAAAGAAAAAATTTACAACTCAAACTTATGAAATGACATCAAAACATTTCGAATAATAAAAATACTAAATATTTTCGTCCAAGTCTTGGTATTTTTTTCATATTTTTTCATGGCAAACAATTGATTATAAATTCGTAAAATAATTTATCAGAACTTATATTACACAAACTAGGTGTTGTGCCCGCATATGCGGGCATAATTTTCTTACGAATATTTATTATTTTTTGTTTTATTAATTCTAAAATAATATTATAATTTATTTTCTATAGTTTTAAAAAACCTAAATCAAACATTAAGATATTTTTATATGATTTTTCATCAAAATCTATATGCTTATTATAGTGTTGAAAAACATCCACATAAAAATAGTTTTGAAAATATATTTATATTTTTTTCTTAATATTTAATTTTAAATTGTTTTATAACTTATTATTTTCACAATAAAAAGATTATTTTCAGATAATTGTATAATATTCTATAAGATATCTTATGTTTTAAATATGCATGAATGTAGATAATTATCCTATTAATTTATAATAAATTAACTAATATAATAACATATAAATTTATATCACTAACATAAAATATGGTTTTAACTAATTCATATATAAATATATAAATTTCATTAAAGGTATCATTAATTTGAACCGTTCCAATTTTTAATACCTAATATTTAATTATATAATTAAAAATATATTTATACAAATGTTTTTGTTTGATTAATAATTAATTAAAATCGATTTTCTATTTTAATTTAATTTTTATAATATAATGATATTATTTTTAAAAGCCAAAATCAATTTTATATAAAATTAAGATCTATAAGCATTATCATGTTATTACAATATTAATTCAGATAATAATAATATATATAAGAATTATCTTATTTTGTTTTTTTTATAAACTTATTATATTAATTATTCTTTATTATCTAAGATAATAACATACTGTACTTATCTAATTTTATTTTTTAAATTTCGTTTTTAATTATAAAATTAGTTATATATAAAAATTTCATTAAGGGTATAAACGATATTAACCGCTCTAACTTTTAACGTGGGAGCTCCGTTGCGTAATAGTATAGATTGGCTACAACTCAGACAGTATCTTCGATAGAGCTGTCATGGCTCGGACTTGCATTTCCAACGCAGCAATGTAATCCGCCGTCTCGTCCAAAAGCTCCGGTAACGCCGTTCTCCGGCAGCCGGGAACCAACCCACCTAGAACTCTGACCCTACTTCTCACCGGCGACAACTTCTTCCTCCTCTTCCCTCCACCTCCCGACCGCCGACGCCGGCTTTGTAATTGTATTCTTGTGCCGGCACAGCCACTTCCCGAGTGGACTCACCAAAATGGCTCGGCTCCATCGGGCCGTACCACGAGCGGTAGTCGCGAGGATTTTATCTGCCGTGTCTCGGACCGTTGTGCTTCGCCGAGATAACCGGAGAGCGTTGTATAGCTTTAAGGAATATACTTTATGCACCACCATGGCTCTCCATCTCCGGCTAAGATGTCTCGCCCGAGGATAAACGTTTTGCCCTCTTTGAGCCCTTAGCAATCTCCGGCCAAAAGGGATTGTTTCAGTCCCTTCTACGTCCGGCAGCGTCGAAAGATTGGTTCCATTTTCCTGTTTAGAAGACATTCACACGAATATTTTTTTTTTAAAACACTAAAGATACGATGTTAGAGCACCCCCATTGAGAGTTCAAATGGGGGGTTCACACGGAAACCAAAAAAATAAAATAATAAAATAACAAAAATCTATGAACCCCTCTCTCCTAAAGTTCATCCGGGTGAACCCCTCTCTCCTAAGGTTCACCACGTGTCAGCCCGGGATTGGTCTAGGTCTTTTTTTTTTCTTTTTTCTTTTTATAAAAAAATCAAAAAGAAAACAGAAAAACTTTAATAATAAAAAACTGATTCAATGAACCCCAAGTGGGGGTTCATTGATGTGGATGTTCTTATCTTCTTTTTTGTTCTCTCGGTATATCTATAAGAAATGTGATTTAATATTATCAAGTCGTCGGGGAAACAAGATCTCTTTATTTTTTTTTGATATTCGAGAGTATGGGATCCATATATATAAATATATGGGAGAGGCCATTCTTAATGCAATTATTTCAGTTATTTTATTGCTATTTTCTTGTTTTTTCGAATTAAATACCATGATTTATAACTTTATTTTCAAAAAAATGAACACCATGATTTATTCCTCCATTTCAATAACATACATGTTTTAGAAAAAAACAAAATTATTTCACAAAGATACATTTTATATATTTTAGATGCATGTTTTTAACTAATAATTAACTAATGTATCATCAATAGTTTTAGTTGGTAAAATCATCACATTAGTCCATTGGAGATTATGGTGATGATTGTTTGCACAAGTTTAGTTTTAGTCTTTAGATTTTGGTTTTAGGTTTTAGTTTTTGGTTTTTGATTTTAGCTTTTTATTTTTGATTTTCAGTTTTTGGTTTAATTTTGATTTTAATTTTTGGTTTTACTGTAGTTTTTAATTTTTTAAGAAATATGTAATACATTATTTTAAAATAATACAACAAAAATAGAAATAAAAAAATTAAAAGCTACTATTAAATATAATGATTATTATTTAATAATACAAAATACATTAACATGTTTTAATTATTATATTTTTTAGAAACTTATATTATACAATATTATAAATAATCAAATAACTATAAATTATACAATTTTTAAAATATTAAAATATGGAAATAGGTAATACATTATTTTAAAATAATACAACAAAAATAGAAATAAAAAAATTAAAAGCTACTATTAAATATAATGATTATTATTTAATAATACAAAATACATTAACATGTTTTAATTATTATATTTTTAAGAAACTTATATTATACAATATTATAAATCATCAAATAACTATAAATTCTACAATTTTTTAAAATATTAAAATATGGAAATTATTTATTAACAATTTTATATAATTTAAATTATAAAATTTGAATGGTATTTTTTTATTTTCAAATTAATATCATATATTTTATTATTTAAATTTTATTTTTTGTAATTTAAGTTGTTGTTTAATAATTCTAATAATTATTAAAATTATTACATAATTTTATTTATAGAAAAGAATTACCAATTTCTATATTTAATAGTATATATAAGTATAGAAAAATTATTTTGAAACGAAACATAAATAAATGATTACACATTATTGCTTAAATGATATCTTTTGTACCAAAAATTTATTAGAATTTTATTTTTATAAAGTATTATTACTTAATTATTAGCTAATTAAAATGTAACACTTTCTAATAAAAAGGAAAAAAAATCGTTTTTATTGTTGAAAACCAATAAAATGAGTTTTTGATTTCTCTTCATAAACTGATTAAAATTTTGAAAAACCAGTTTTCCTAAATTTTAGAGAATCTATTTACTAAAAAACTTGATTGGCAAAAATATGATTTTTACAAAAACCAAAATATTGATTGGGTAAAAATTATTTTTTTGAAAAAACAAAAACCAAAAATTATTTCAGAAATTACAAACAATCATTACCTATGTGTTCGAGCCTCTTACGTTACACTCAAACATTTTCCGTATTTTTCTTTATTATAAATTAATTATGAGTAGTTGTAAACTTCAAAAATTTGATTACATTTACTAAATTTTATTGGTGTAGAATTATGAGAAATAGATAATTAAAAAAGTTACACATTTATAGTTAAAATTTAATATGTTTTATTAATGTGTGAAAATTTTAAAATATACATTATTTTTAACAAAGTTTGTAGTATCCGGCTATGTTTCAATATGTTGTGTATTTTAGATTTTTCATACATATTAATAAAACATATAATAAATATATAATTTTTTGAGCTTATATTTTTTTCATAAATGATAAATCTAAACCAACAAAAATCCAATAAATATAATTAAGGTTTTTGAAATTTGTAATTAATCATTATTAGATGACAAAACATGTATTGAAATATAAAAAAAAAATTAGAAACAAATTTTATTTTTCTAAAACATGTAACATTATAAAGCAGATGCAGTAGTTTTTTTTTTTTTTTGACAACAGTTATTTTTCTTGAATAATGTACGTGTAAATTCATAGTTGCCAATTACGATTTGACCCGGTGAATGCAAATCAGTTTCCTATACTAAATTTAATGCATTCTTAGGATTGAAATTTGAAACATAACTAAAGACTAGTACAGCAGAACATGACTAGAGGAACAAGTCTCTTCTTCCTTTTCTTAGCTCGACGGCCAACAAAATCTTCATGTGATATTGTAATAGATATTTTACACAAAGGCTGAAATTTAAGCGTTTTACATGTTTCAGCCTATTTATGATGGTGAGCGGCGTAAATTTGTTTTATGAGGTGGATTGTAGATTCTTTAGTTATAAAATAACAAAATTGACGATGGTGAAGTATTGTGGAGGGCAATGGTTGGTGGCAATATAACCAATAAATAGAAGTTAGAACACATAGCTACAAAACAAAATTCAATATAATGAAACAAAAAAACTAATGAGCTAGGAACAATAAAACTGGAAAATGATAGGAAAAGGAGAAGATGCATCATGGTGGGTTTCTTTCGTGACCTCCTCTTCACCTTGGGCTTAGTTGTGGCTATTTATCATCCACAATTTTTCTCTCATGATTTCTCTTTGTTTAAAATTGAATTTTATTCGATATTTGGTGTTTTGTGAAAACATATAACATGGTCTCTATACTTTTCCTCTTTTAGGAAATTAATAAGTTGATTTATTCGAAAAGCATGAAATTTTAGGTTTTGGATTACAGTTGTCCAATCAGTCTTATAGTAGAAAGACACAAATGTAATATCGCCCGACTAAATAACATTGTTTTCATTTCTTAAAAATGTAGTATATTTTACCTCTGGACTCTGGTACGATGAATAATTAAGTAGTACGTCAATCTTCTGGCGTCAATCTCAACTGTTCCCTTTTTGTTTATTATTCCCAAATCAGATGATTAGTTGTTATATTGTTCTAAGAACATATAACTGCTTTATTTGGCTGGCATGTGTTGCCTTGGAATGTTTCAGGTATGCCATTTGCTTCATGCTCATCTCTACCATGAGGAGAGTTATAACTCTATGTGTAATTGATGCACTGACGGAGACGGAGAAGTCTCATTTATAAATCAGATAGTTTAATTTGGGGATGTCCAAAGGGTAAAAAAAAAAGATTTTAAACGAGGATCATTCTGGATGATCTGATGTAGAAGGAAAGACTACTAACGTTTGTTTTTGTGGGCAGTCTTAGAGGTACTTACAAGGTCGTATCTTTGCCTTTTTGATGTCACTCTTGTTTTCTGAAAAGATTTGTAAGTTGAGAAACTGAAAGTTTTTAAAATGTGCCAAACAGGGAAGATCATTTGTCTCTCAAACCCTCCCGAAGTAAGGAAAAATGAGCGTTGCACGTTCTATTGCGCAAATGCTCTTGGCCGCAAGTTCTTCTGTTTCTCTGGTGGATGACTATCTGAAGTTGACGTCATTAGGGGCATTGTCAAACATACGTTGTTGCCATGTCTGAAAATATGGTGAAGTGTGACAGTGTCTAGCTTATGGAACCAAAATCAAACATATGTTATGGATTCAGAGCAGAATACAACTTTTTTAGACCACTTTCTCCATATTACTATTGACTTATCCAAGAATTCTACTCTTTATCCATGACGGTTTTTTCTACTCACATTCTCCAGTCATTGTGGCATTAGGTCTTTCCTAGTAATCATTGGTCCTCACTCCCCAGTCATTTCTGATGCCTTTTGCTGATTTTATCTTCTTTTTCTTCATTATTAGAGATTGTACTCTTGCCAAATTGATGTAAGAGATGCAGCTCTTCATTCGTTTTGTGATAATCTTTGAGATGTGACATTAAATGGAGAAAAGCAAACTTTAGAGCATATTGAAAAGGGTTTTTTTCTCAAGATTTTCATATGTCGACTACTTTATATCAAAATCCATCCAAACGCACAAAATCTGTTAATGAGACGATCGACAGCCCCACACTATCTTAGTTAGGTTCGATCAAGCGATCCTGCACCAAAATCTTCATCTTCTTTTTGTAGTTGAAATTCTTAATTCATAACGAACGTTAAGATCGACTTTGTAGATATTTTAGCTAAGTAAGAAAAAAATTATTAAAAAAACAAAACTAAGGATTGATTAGACAATATATTGAAATGCATATATAGGTTAAGATATTCCAAAACTTAGTGAAATCTTACAATTTCGACTTGTATAATGCTTTGTAATGATTAGTTAAATGTTTTACAAGAATAAAGAGCTACAAACGATTACTCATAATGTTCTTTTGGCCGAGTATACGAGACTATAGTTATTCACATTGCTTATGGAGATCAACATATTTTATCATCATGTTCATGTGTATACATAGTATTCATTAATATTGAATTAAAGGAGATTTATATGAGTCATCAAACCATTTTTGAGCTGAAGAAGAAAGATAAATATATATATATATATCTTGTGGTACGGTAGAGAATCTGGAGATGCATGAATCGTAATTATGGATGTAATAAAGACCAAAAAATGAACCTATAATATGAAAGAGTCACAATTATTTAATGTTCCATAAATGGAAAGCCAAGAAAAAGGCAATATAGACCGTACCCTACAAAGATTTCACACATGCTCCATGCTTGCGTCATCAACACATAGATTTTGCATAATATGCTACATATGTATATGATCATAGACATATATAATAATATCACGTGTGAATTCTAGTGTTATAGTTTATAAAATAAATGTAAGTGTTTGTATTAAAAACTTATACCAACCAATCAAAGTGTGTGAATTGGAAATGCTCAAATGCCTAATAAGCCAAAAGATGTGACAGTCTGACGTTGATAATGGAGACTCTCGTTTTCATTTTCAAGTCATGAGTGGATAACTCATCAAACATATGTATGCATATTCAGCCTATACTCTCCAGTGATCATAAATTTTAGTAGGAAATAGATACATAATATACATGTTAGATTTATATTATTCCTATTTTTTTTTTTAACGACAAACTTGAATTATAAAGATGAAACTTCGGTCTAGTACATAGTAATGCCTGAATCAGTGCTGATTTTGCAAGCATATCAACAGCTGAATTTTGGTCTTTCGGAATATAAGAAAAACAAATGAAAGTGAAAGAAAAAGATAGAAACTCCATTAAAACTCCAAAAAGTCATTGGATAGGTTTTTGAGTTGATGACTCTGATGAGCTCCTGGGAGTCGGATATTATTCCTATATGGGCCAAAATGTTTAAGACAGAAACTAGACTTAAATATGATGCTGTTACATTTCAATCGGTGCACCAGAATTGTATTTCGTGAGGTTTGAACATGCACCTCCAAAGTTCAAGCTCCCCCTGAGACATCAAATCTGGTGTAGATCTGATAGTGAACTAATTACTTCGTATCATTTCTGATTCTCTGACGTGCTTAGAAAATATTTGATAAATGTGATTTTAGATTTTATAATGATTATACAAATCACATTTAATCAAATATATAATGATTGGATAATCTTTTTTTCAATTATAAGAGTCGGAAATCTAAGTGATGCACGCGTGGTGTACGCGTGGTGACGGCTTATTTTTATTGGCTGCAGCCTTGTTAATCTTTAGTCACTAAGGAATTACCATTATTCTCGTTATAAGATTTAGAAGTAACTTTGATAATTTGTAAACAGGTTACAAAAATAACAGATTATGGTACATATTTTATATAATTTAAAACAGTTTTGAACGATTAGGTTAATCTTTTACAAACTTATTAAATTTTAAAGATAAATTTGGTATTTCAAAAATGTTTTAATTCTTTAGACAACACCAAAAATAAGATAAGCTAAAGTTTGAATTCACGTCCGTTTTAATCGGGGCCGGATTAACCGAATGTGTTTAGTACAAAGATGGATTTATCAATCTCAATAAAATTATCGTAAATAAAATAAATATAATTAACAAAAAAAATCATGCTATATATACTCCCTAAGCTATGCAATATCTGAATAAGCTGTGACTAAGGAAAGCTAAAGCAACAAAAGGCAAAAGCCAAAACAAAAACCAGAGAGGTGTTGATATTATTAATTTGATGGATGCATGGCAAGAAGAATCTGAAGGTGACCCTATCATAGTAAGTAAATTGGTCTCTAATTTGCTTTGTTATCTCTCTTTCTATGCATTAATGTACTCTGTTTCCTTATCTGTTATATCCCATACTCTGTTCTTTCTTCTGCTTCTTCTTTTTTTTTGTTGGTAACGTTTTCAGATAGTTTAAGCTTTTCACTAATCTAGGAACAATTAATTATAAAATTATTCCCTAATCTAGGATATTGGTTTTAAATATAATTTATATTTATTAACAACAAAACTATATGTTCTTTGAAGAACGATCGCTCCCTTATAATAACTTTAAACTTTGCATTATATGATATTTGTCTTATTTATTTTTGGGATGCATAGTTAGATTTCTTATGCTTGGAGGTTGATTGAGCTTTAGAAGTGTTGTAGGGTTTTTCCACAACCTAAATTCTTTATAAAAAACAATATCTTCCAATCATATGATTTATAAAGATTTTCTTGACTTTTGTTTTGTGTTTTCTTTCCTACTTTTCCTCTTTTTTTTTGGTTACATACAAAATCTCTAGAGTATTTATATTTTGACATAATATTTACAAGTTAATAAATAAAAATGCAATCCTACATCCATAACCTTACATCAAAAGAATTTACAGCCACAACAAAAAACTACAGAGTTAATTCTACTGCACACTTCATTCCAATGAAGTCTAATGTATGTCTCTAATTTGTTTTTCAGGATCTATTTCCACCTCTAAACTTGCATTTTACACCAACTCCGGAATTGATGAGCTTGATTCAAACAGCACTGCAACAAAACCACTCAAGTCCACATCAACAGAACTTTCATCACACTACAGAGCACACAAAGACCGTAGCACCTTTTGAAACTCCTAAAAATCATGAAAAACCAAAGGCTGTGAACTCCCAAATCCACAAGATCACAATTGGTCAATGGACTCACGTGCGGGTCTACCCGGATGATATTAAGGCGAAATTCTATTTTAAAAAGAGGAGAATTATCTGGGAGTTTCTAGACGATGTAGAAATAGGAACACAAGTGGAAAGGCTGAAGAGAAAGATCGAGATCGAATGGTCTGATGTCTTGTCTTTTAGAGCAATTTTAAATTCACATGATGACACTGGAATACTCGAAGTAGAGGTATCATACAATAATTTTTATATATATCATATGTTTACACATTTTATTACAAATCTTGAGCCTAATGTTTTTGTTCAGTTGGGAAAACGTCCAACGTTCTTCATGGAGACTAATCTACAAGCAAGAAAACACACTCAATGGAAGATGGATCAAGATTTCACCCTAGATCAGTCTGCTTCTAAATACAGGTTTCATTCTCTATCTTTGATTCCTCCTTCCTACTTAGTTTTAATTTCCTTGTAAAGAGATTCAATGCCTCACATTTATATATAACAGGAGACATACACTTCATTTTTTTCCTGGAGATCTGCAAGAGACCTTGGAGAAGCTTGTCTCCGGAGATAGCTTCTGGTCAAAACTTGCCAAAGTCAAGTTTCCAACTCTACAGTCTCTTTACTTCGATATTGGCTTTGGTGACAGCAACAATGATGTTGGCACCGTCAACTTGTCTCACGACGGACGGTACCAAACACTTAGCTTCGACAACGATAATGAATCTATTCATCACTATTCTCAAGGTACTTAACTTTGAACCTTTTGCATCATAGCCAGATAAGGTCAGATGAAACATTCGTCTTAGCCCCCAAATTAAAAAAAAAAATTATGCATAAATTTGCCCTTAAATTGTCGTATTTTAATAATATTAACCAAAACTTATCGTTATTAAAATAACCCATTATTTTTATAGGATTTGATCAGTTGCCTGATGGAAACGTAAACTTTAACATACCAACTCAGTTCTACCCTAATGATGGGAGACAAATGAACTCATTTGTTCAAGGCATTCACTCACCTTGGACGCAAGTTATCCAACCATCCTCTCAGTGGGTCGAGGGAAGGTATGTTAGCGAGCCACAGTTTAACAATTCGATGATCCAAACGAGAAACACAAGGGAGTTACTTGGAAATCAAGCATATGAACAAGCATTACGTGAGACAAAAGGTGAATACATGAAGTTTCACATGGAACCGTATCTACAAGACTACTCAGCTCAAGAAGGAGAGACACAGCACATGGAACACATACTTCCTGATGGTAACTTTCATCAGACCAATAACATATGTTATTGTGATCAATGCTTCAGCAACATTTATTCACTGCCTCATGATTTGTTGATGTAATTCTGTATATCACTGAAAATCTAGCTTTTTCTTTCCGTGCTACATCTTCCCAATAATTCTTGTGTTTTTTTTTCTCTATCAAATACCTTTTGGGGTCTTCAGTTTTTCATTGGATATAAACTAGAACCCTAACTTTTGGAATTGTTATTTGTCGATCATTGATTTATTGTGCTTGCAAAATAATTCAGTGAATATTATCAATTCCAACTTCCAAGTATACATTAATCAATAATGCAACGAACTAGGTTAAGAGATTTGGTATTCGAACCACAGGTTACAAAGAGTAAATTGTGGTCACTACAACCGTGTAACACTTATGTCATAGATAAGAAAACAATATGTGACATGTAACCATAACGCTTTTGCCAAAGCCTTTAAAATAGAGTTAATAGACACACATTCTTCTTCTTAGGCACAAATAAACGACATCATTATGTTAGATTACATAGTGAAACTCTGGATCAAAAACATTAAAGACACAAAATGAGCAATATGATCGTCATGGTTTTTTGAAAGATTTAAAGCCCCCCAGAGGCCATCATCTCTGCAGCCTCAGGATCCATCTCAGGCTCCTTCTCCATGACCTTCCCTTTCTGAACCCAAAAATTTTGATAGCCAATTAAAGAAGAAACAACGAAAAGGAGGGAACTCAAGAAGACATGTATCTATGTATGGAAACTTGCCTTCTTCTGTTTATTTTTTCCCCCGTTGCTTCCTCTTCTTCTTGCTGTTTACGGATCCGTTCTTCCAGGTCTACATGATAATCTCTATGTTTCAAAGGGGCTCTCCAGAGAAGAGAGGAAAAGTCTAAGTTTGAACTTTGAACAATACCTTTTAGTGTCACGCTATTCAGTGTCCGTCTAGGGTGTTTGGTCTAGTGGTATGATTCTCGCTTCGGGTGCGAGAGGTCCCGAGTTCGATTCTCGGAACACCCCATATTATTTTATGTTCCTATTGTCGCAGAGACAGCCTTCACATTTTTCACATGATGAACTAGAACTCCACGCCGTTTCCTACTTTCCATGCACATGTGACTCATACGCTCAGCTCCATCACCAAAGTGAAGAATTCTTTTACTATTTGCTATTTGAGAGATTCTCAGAGTATGTTATTCTTTGATAATCATGTGTGTCTGTGTCAAACTGGACAATCCAGAAGAAGATTTATTTTTACAAGACCCCCCAGGTGGTTAGAAACACAAGACAAGATCATTAACTAAGTTATATTATCAACTAATTCAGACACAATCTCTTATTCTATCTAGATCCTTTCTTCATTACTCTCTCTGTCTTGTAAAAAATATAATAGGACACAAATCTTCAGACCATTATAAAAGAATGAGGGATCATCCTTGTTTCGTGGGTCACAAGAAAAGCTCCTTGAGGATTAAGAGCCACGAACATGTTAAAGCAGAGGACAAGAACAGACCATACCTCCATTTCTCTGTGTATGTTCTTTGTGCCTGTGGAGATTCACAAAGCGAGTTGCAAGAACTGAGCTACTGAACCTCTTTATCCTAATCTCGTACAAAGTAACAAGATAATCTATGAAATTCATATAAACAAAAGCACATCTGCAGAACAGAACAAGAAACTCTAAAGATGAGCCAGCTACAGCATCGCAAATAATGAAGAGCCAAGTACCGAGTTTCCATACATCGTTTTCTTGTGTCAAAGACTAAATTTGATGTCGATCTTCTTTAGCATCACCAAACGTAGGCATCAACGCTTTAGCACGAGTCCTTCCTAGTTCAGCCATTTTAGTCCTTACACGCTGAATGTTCACTCAAAATCTCCTCAGATACATCAAACCAATATGTTGGTAACCCCACTGTTATTGTTCCTCTACTATAAACATTTGAAGTAGAGGTTTTAGCTTTAACATTTGAAGTATAGGTTTTAGCTACCAATCAAAAACATTATCCACATGCTACCAGAGTTCTGCTTATTAAAACATCTACTTAGTAAAAAAAATTATAGACTGAGATCTTGGTGGGGGCTGCGCGGACGCAAACCCCCTCAACAAATAAATAATGACGTAAGCTCTTCCACTTGGGAAGACTTTAGGCCCTTCCTATGTGCAATGGAAGTCACTAGCCTAGGCCACTCGTCTTCTTGAACAAGAGTCTACCCCGTTCAGGTAAGAGTGTAGCAAGTTCCCACGACTATCTTATTTATACTGAGATTCGGAAGGGTCCTTGTAAGTTGCAACCGATGTGGGACCTTGTGAGTTTCACACTTTCCGCTGTTCTAAATTTTCTTTTGACGCACCGCGTGACGTTTAAGTTCTCCTGTCATTGAACGACGTGTCGGTCAGGATTAATCAAACGCGGAACGGCAAGGCCTTTGTTTGCTGTTTACGTTTTCTATTGGGCTGGGTATCCTTGGTGGCCCAAACTCAATTCGTAGTACAATGTCATCAAAAATTTGACTTCACGTAAATTATTAAAAGTAAATAGTGTTGGCTAAAGCCATAGCTAACCTAGAGAGTTGAACAAGAACGACTTTACAATTGTGTGATCGACAAGGTTCATGAGTTATATAATATTATAGGTTTAAAGCAATAATCGGCATGGTTCATGAGTTATGTAGATCTCGGACTCGGAGTTATAAATTTGTAGGCTGAGATTCAACTAACTAGTAAGTTATTTAGAGAACTACTTTTAAAATTGTGTGAGTTTGAGTTGAAATATAATCTAGAAACGAGTTTGTCACGGATTCAACTATTCAATTTTTATAATTAACGTGTCATTTCATATGATACTATAACAAATACAAACGTTTTCTTTCACTGATATTTCTACAGATCATGATCTAGAACAAATACCAAATATAAGCTTTTATGGAAAAAAAAATAGATAAAGTACATTATATTATTATAATATTGGTATTAATGCCCCCAATGATGTGGATTGCATGACCAACGAAATGATATATAATGCAGAAGACTAATTGTAAAGGTTTAGTAATTAAAAGGGATTAAAACAAAAAGTGGGATTATTTTTTCTTGGCCAACGATCAAAACGTAAAGTAATAGGAAAAAATGACCTAAAAGTAATGTTCTTTTGTTCCTTTACTACTGTAAACGTATACACTAGACTTCCACTTCATTGTACTCGGTTCGTGCATTCAAGTGGAACGCATATATATGCAACTACTTCATATTATACGCCTTCTAAAAAAGTTGGATGGTCAATTTCCTATAATTAAATCCTAATTTCTTTTGGAATAAAGACAATAATTTCTTAAAATATATAGTTGGTGCTTAGTCATTTCGTGATTTTTTTGGAAGCTAACGAAAAAGTGGAGCCGTCATGTGACAAAAATAAATCGCATTGGAGAATATGATGGAAAACATATGTATACCTTACTGTCGTTAGATATTTATATTACAAGTGATTAAATTTATGATTCAGTATTGTTAAGAAATATGTATCACAAATGGACGTGATAGATTAGTACTGGATTATGTGTAAGCCTTGGTGTTATTGTGATTCTAGTTTGAAACTTGCTAAATGATGTTTTATGCAATGTCACTAGAATTAACGGTGCCTAGAGAAAAAAAAAAGTAGGGCACAAAACTTAAACTCCTTCTAGTAATTAAAAAGAAAATTCTAGCACCATACGTCTCTAGAGAAAAAGAATCATTGATGAACTTGAATTGATACGATCAGTGGAACGAACTATATGTGTTATTTCAAAAAGGCTAAAAATCGATGATACATACATATAACTAAAATAAATTCCTTAAACTTTTTCATTCACATGCACTACAATATATGTTAAGAACATGAGATATTAATTCGTAATATATATACATATTAATTTTAAATCCATACATTTAAATTAATTTTCGTTAGGATGCGTAAACCATTTTAATGGGATTTGAACTCATTACCCATTGAGCCCAATCTAAAAAATTAGGCATTAAGCAAACTTTATGGTAGTTCATATGATATTTTGAATACAATAAAAATTTATACTATGGTTCCATTTACCAATATTAACACCATATACAAGAACTGAAGGTAGGAGTTTAATGGTTTGAAATGAGTTGTTTATGTTATTCTTCTTTCCAGTCCCACTTAAATCGTATATCACTAATCCAAACAAAAAGTTGTGGTCCAGATCTTTCAGATAAAGTAAAGTTGAAACAAGGATTTTTATATGAGTCCCTGCATACTGAAAGCAGATGTGTTTGTTAGAAAATAGTAAAAGTTAACAAGTGTGCATAATTCAAATGATTAATGTGTTGGCGAAGAGAGAAAGATGGTAGTGAAACAAGCTTAAACACCACGTACAGAAGTACACATAAACAAAAGCAAACAATTAGTTAAAAGATTAATTTATTGTAAATACAATAGCTAAATGTGTAAATAAAATAACATATTAAAATTATTACTATCATGTTTCAGAACAATTATAATTTATATTGTTATTCATGTTTCTAAACAATATCAAAAAATACTTCAATTTGAATAATGTAGATGATCAATATATGAATATCGATTTGGTTCAATAAGATGTGGAACTGTAATTAATTAATTTAAATTAATTTTAGATGCAGTGTCAGAATCTATACAAAAATGAAAGATTTAATCTATTATAAATACAGTGACTATATGTATAAATAAAATGAAATACTAAAATTATTGTTATCCATGTTTTTAAACAATTATAATTTATATTGTTATTCATGTTTCTAAACAGTATAAAAATATATTTTAGTTTTAATAATATATATATATATATATATTATTGTAAGCAGATATACAACTTCAAAAAAAAGTAAATTGACAAATACTCTCTCATATCAAAAGTTAATGTTTAAAAATCTCACATATAATAAATATTTTTTGTTAATAAATGCATTATTTATTATGATTAACAGTAATATAATTGTTAGCTAGTCAAAATTCAGTGAACGCAAATTAATTTATTTGAAATTTATAATTTATCATTATTAGTTGACAAAAAAATTATCGTTATTACCTAATAAAATTCTGTTAAATGCATCTTCTTAAAACATCTTCTCCGAAAACATGAATTATTTAGAAACTGGGGGGTGTCATTTTTAGCATATGCTTATAGTAGTAACAAATAATTACGTTAAATGTAATTAACTTGTTAAGTTAGTTGTATTTTTATAGTTGCATTATCCTTTTAGCATTTTAACCAGCGTCAGTTATCAATATACTATCAGTACTGCTCTATCTTTCTTATCATAAGGAAGCTAATCCTCATTCTGCCAAATTAAAGTCCAAAACCAAGACTTAATTTCTTTCAAATATACACACTTGTTAATTTCTTCCGAATATAGAGGTCATGTACACACGTGTTCCTTAAAAGATCTTGAACTACTTAAGGAAACATAACGAAAGAGGAAATAAAAGGACAATATGTAAAGAAAACCACTTGAAAACCTAGTAAAGAATAACAAGTTAACAACATCTCAACAGGTGTCCTATCTATTCATGTGATCGTATGTGTTTGGTCTATTTACAGAATTATACAAGGGTTGAGTATAGTAGCTACTTTATATTATAATTGATAGGGAATGAGTCACAAGCTTATAATAGCAAATATTGACAATATTATTGTTGAAGTTGTCAGGCTGCTTACTTTATGTATTTTATTTTCATTTTTGAGTGGTGATCCTATTCCTTTACACATATGACACATATACAAAATTTAATACTAAAAAGCTTACAAGGACCACAATTATAATAAGTAAATAAACGATGCAGTTGACAACCCTAGCACTACTCTGCCTAATGGAAGGAAAGTAGTTTTATATATTTAATAGAAAAAAACAAAACAGAAACATAGTAGCATAAAAGCTGAAGGTGATTGGTGGATGAAACTAGAGTTGTCATCTACACTTGTAATTCATATATTGGTTAGTCTCTCTTCTCTTTCTCTCTTGATTTAAGTCTTGGTGAATGAATATCTGTTTCTTGATTTGGAACCGACATGGCTCCTAACAATTGGGCTTTTCTCTGCCTCTTCCTAGGAATCTGAAGCTCCCTCTCTCTCTTTCTCACTCCATCCTGTGTGTAAGTTTTCATCAGTCTCTTTTGCTTTTAGATTTACATAGGTTTTTGTGTGTTGATGTTGACCAACATTTGGAGTTTTACTTGCATCTTACTCAACTTCTTCTGTCTAGCGTTTGGTTTGTTAAAAGGATTTCAGTTTCTTGTGTCTTTTATTTTTTATTGGTTCCTCTATGTTTGTTCGTACTTTAGACAACAAGTCTGTCTCTTGACGATGATTCACATGTGGGTTTCCTCATTCGTGTGGTTTTGCGTTATTCCCAACCCCAAAGTTTCTCAATTGAGTAACAAAGAGTTTTTACTTTGTTGACTTTCTGTTCGTGTTTATCTTTCACAGGACCTACTCTTTCATCTCGGCAACATCGAATCTTGACTTCCTTTTTTATTTTCTTCACCTTTTGTAATATTGGATCTTGGAGATGGCTATGCAAACTATGAGAGAAGGTCTTCCCTCTGCTCCACAGATTTCTTGGTGGAACGCTTTTGGATCTCAGCCGTTGACTCCAGACAATCTCGCCGGAGATTCTGATTCATTGGCCGGAGTTAAGGTCAGATCTGCTGGAGGGATAGAACAAGGTGTGAATAAACAAAGCAACTCTGTATCTCACTTTGCTTTCTCACTTGGTAAGTCTTAGCTTCATTTGCCTTTATTGTAGTGAACCTTATAGGGAATACTGGTAGAACATGTTTAACTAGTTACTTCTAGGTTTGTGAAAGTGAATGTAACTGAGCTAAGTTATCTAAAGGGAAGACATCTTGTGTGCTTCAAATACTGAGTTCATATTCTATTTATAGAAAGTTGTGAATCTAAGTTGCATGTTTGTTATGCTTTTAGGTGATGTAAAGAGTTCAAGAGTTGTGCCAAAGCCTCATGGAGCTGCTTTCTCAATGCAACCACCTTACTTGGAACTTGGATTTTCTCAGCAACAGGTACATTATTCTTCATAAAAAAACATCTGTAGCCTATCATCATATGTCATTTAATTTGATTCTGAGTGTGTAGTTTTTTTTTTGTTTGCTGTTTTCTACCTTGGTCGTCATTTAGATCTACACAAAGTATCCTTGTGTGGAACAACAATACTATGGAGTTCTTTCAGCCTATGGACCTCATAGCAGTGTAATGCTTCCTCTAAACATGGAAACAGAAGATGGAACCATCTATGTCAACTCAAAGCAATACCATGGAATCATCAGGCGTCGCCAGTCACGTGCAAAGGCTGCTGCTGTTCTTGATCAGAACAAACTGAATAGCAAATGCCGTAAGGTAAAAATAATAACACATCAAAAAGTAATTCGGTAACGTTAATGTATGTTTTTTTTGTTGCTAAATATGTTAATATATTTTGCTAAATATGTCTCAAGGTTATTGAACTTCACCTCTCAGAATTTAACATAACAAAAACTATTTCGGTTTTATTGTATTTTGTTTTGCACTTATGTTAATGTATGTTGCAGCCATACATGCATCATTCACGTCACCTCCATGCATTGCGCCGTCCTAGAGGATCTGGTGGGAGGTTCTTGAACACTAAAAGTCAGAACAATGCAAAGAAAACTGATGGAACTAAGCAGAATCAGCCTCAGCCTCAGCGAAGTAACTCTCAGGATTCAGATGTTCTTCATCCTGAAACCGTGACCATGAACTTATCAAACCGAATAAATGTCTCGGGTTCAGAAGTTACAAGCATGAACTACTTTTTAGGCTCTTCAGTGCATCCCCTTGGTGGCATGGTAATGCCTAGCAAGTGGATCACAGCAGCAGCGATGGATAATGGCTGCTGCAGTTTCAAAACCTGATACTTTGACCATAGTTCATCAGTCAGACCGAGAGAAAGAGAGAACTCTTTTGTCTTGATAAAAGACAATTTTGAGTTTTCTTTTTGGTTTCTTGGTTCCATCTGACTGTGAACTGGCAACTCATCTTTGGCTCATCCTTTTCTAAGGCTTCCTCACGGAGCCTTGGTTTTTTTATCTCAGTGTGAAACTAGTTAAGTCTGGTGAAGAACAGTGATGGGTTTTGACAACTAAAACCCACTTGTTCGAACTCTATCGTCTGATCTTATGATGTTGTATAACTCATCTCTGTGTGTGTGTGTGTGTCTCTCTCTCTCTTTATGTATGTGTTTGGAACGATTGTAAGAAATTTTAGTCAAGTGGCTTATGTAACATTTTGTAAGTCCTTTTAAATAAAAGTGTGTGTGATCTAATAAACTTGGCTGAGACGTAGAGTATTCTCGTCTAAAGGTTCTTGAAGTTGTAGAAGCTTGTGCGTCTTTCTCAGATTCATTTTTTTAAAACTCTAAATCTCATGATACTCCACTTTGATCGTGTGTTTGTTCATATGCAAAGAAACATTCAACAATTTGATCATCATGTAAATTATAATCATGTCACATACTAAATGAATGTGTTAAGGAACATCACCTCTCAGAATTTAACTTAGTGGAATCTTGGTCGATGATGGCATTGGCAGCTTGAGTCATTCTTACCAAAATCATGTTAGAGGCATACTACAACAATGTTTTATGGATGATTAAATAAGAAAAATCTCAAGTTCATAATAATATTTTGTGTTTGTTCTGAATAAATATAGTGACTCCAATTTTATATATCTTGTATATATCTTATATATTAAAACAGAAGTCATGACTTGATTTCATGTGTGATTTTTTCAAAAATAGACTATTACTAGAAAGTTATGTTACATTAACTCTCTAATAATCTTATCATTATTATATCTTATGAAAAATCATATCTATGATAACAAAGATACGCTTAACAATTTTGTTTTGGTAAATTACCCCACACCTTCCAAATTAGTCACGCAAAATATGTCAATAGATATAAATTTAGGAATCTTCTATTATTTATAAGGAAATATGTCAATAATAGTTAAATGCATCCACAATATATTAACAAAAATCACATATTAGTAATATGAAATATTTATATACCCTAACAAAATTTACACGCTATATATATGAGAAAATTTTATTTCGATGTAAATTTTTAAAATTATATTTTTTTAAAAAAAGAAATTGTTTAAAAAGTTCTTTTTACTAAAATTCTTTATAACATTAATTTATGAAGCTATACGTTTAGTTTTTAGCAAAAATTTCTTCGAAGTTTATATTATCTTTGCAAATTAAAGTATACTAATATTTAATCAAGTTCTATTTATATTACTTTATCGAAAAATAAAATACTAATCTAACAAACAATAAAATATAGAAAAAGAAACAAACACATGTTTGAAAAACATGTATAATATAGAAAATTTGAAACAATCTTTTTTATTAAAACACTTATTATATAATATTATTATGTTTGAAAAACATTTACTATACATATCGTAAATATGTGATTACTAAAATATATACCAATTTACAAGTGAAAACAAAATATTTATATGACTAACTATTAACAAAACAAACACCCGCACAACCTAACTAACTATAAACGAAAACAAACACCCGCGTGGTTGCGCGGGTCAAAATCTAGTTAGAAATTAAAAATGATTAAAAGAAAAAAATAGAGAGAAAATAAATGTAAACACACACTTGTAGAGGTATATGAATATTTGATTTATATGAAGGCTATAGTTTCCTCAACATCACCGGTTTGGCTTCGCTGGTTTGTATAAACCGCAAAATTCAATTTCCGGTTAGTAAAATTCAATTCGATATTAGCTATCGCTCGGGCCAACCCTAAAAACCTTAAACGCCGGTTAAACAAAAGAGAAGCTTCATCGGCGTTTCTTCTCCTTCTCCTTCTCCTTCGCTCTGCGTCGCCTTCTCTCTACAATCCCCAGGTAATAAGCTTCTTCGATTCGTACTCTTTAAACAACCACTAGTACTCCTCGCATTCCCCCTAAAGCTTCGTTTCTTAACGAAGCTTTCTCCCTCCGCGTCGATCCCAAAGTAGTGAGATTTAAGCCTTATTTATCGTAGAAACCCTAATTCGTGATCTAGTTGTTGCGTTTGACATAGAGAAGCTTTAAGTTCGCGAACTCTTCTGAATCTGCCGTGGCTAATGAGTTCGTGTTTTAAGTTGTGTTTTGTCTCTGATTACTGTAATGATAGAGGGATAGTTTTTGTGATCTCAGGTTTTAGCAACCAGGCTTGAGTTAAATTTTTTATATTGAGGCTAGGAGACGTACAGGACCGGAGAAGACTGGGAACTATTCTCTAGATATGGTGCGGTCGGAGCCTTGTGTTCTGTTCTCTCAGACCTTTGTTCATCCTCAATTGGACGAATATGTTGACGAGGTAAGCTTCTCAATTGTCACCTTATTGTTCCTTATCTCTGTCTCTTTAGTCTAGTAGGAATAGTTGTATGGATAGGATTGGTCGGAACAAGTGGTTTGGTTTGTCATTTGGTGTCCGAAGTTATTTCTTCAGTTTTAACATTTCTAGGGATTTATTTTTATGTTTCCTTTGATTCTTATAGGTGATATTTGCTGAGCCAGTAATCATCACTGCTTGCGAGTTTTTGGAGCAGAATGCCTCCTCTTCTTCTCAAGCTGTTTCCCTTCTCGGGTATGTTTTCTCGTCTGTGTATCCTTTTTCTTTCTTGGTTTTAATTATGAAAGATCTTCAAGTAGTAAAATAGCCATTACAAGTCTTGTTGGAATGCTTCGTTATATGTTGTCGAGCATGTAAACTCTTTTTGGCTCTTTGATGCGGAGATTTATTACATTACTAGTCCTTGATAATATCTTGGTTGAAACGTTTAGACTCTAATGTTTAGTTTTTAAAAAAAATTTTATAGTCATTTTCAGACTACTGTAGATTTTTGAGTCAATTGTTAGTATTGTCACATAAATGGGTGGCTTGGTGTTCTTAGTGAGTGACTTAGAATCGGTGACATGTCTTGAGGTTTGTCTTTAGTGTGGGTGATACTGATATCTGTGGATACTTATCTGAATGTTGACAATATTCTTAATTAGGGCAACTTCACCTCCATCATTTGCATTGGAAGTATTTGTTCGATGCGAAGGAGAATCAAAGTTTAAGCGACTTTGCAACCCTTTTCTTTACACCCCTTCAGCGCCCTATCCTTTGGAAGTGGAGGTAACTACTAAGACGTGTTTTGTCTTCACATGTCTGTTGCTTTTCCCTCTCATTTTGTTCTCTTGCTGGGTATGATTGATTTGATGTTTTGCAAATGGTGCTGGTAACAACGTTTGGAAATGGTTCTTAATTCATATATATGATGTTTCGGACAGGGCTTTTCCAGTCCTTTGACCAGAGTAATTGGCTATCAGAACTGTGACTTACAGTAGCACGCACTCCCTTAGAGATGTTCATATGTGTAATTGCTAGGCCACATATTTGTCTTCGGATAATATTGTATATGATTAAATAGAGGGATTAAATAACTTGTAGCAGAAGGTTATGGGTTTAGTCTTGGTTGGGAATGGAAGGAGTTAGAGTATTGTATACCTTTTTATTCTGTGATCCTGTGTGTCAAAAGGCAGACCTTCCCATTTGCAGGGTTCAAGTCCTGGCATTATTCTAAGTTACACCTGAATTTGAAAGGACTGTTTCATAAAACTTGCAGGCTGTTGTGACAAACCATCTGGTGGTTAGAGGTAGCTATCGAAGTTTAAGCTTGATCGTCTATGGAAACATCGTGAAAGATTTGGGGCAGTACAATATCATTCTTGAAGGTCGTTCTGTAACTGATATTGTGAATTCCACTGAAGGTAATCTTGAGGACTTGCCATTGGTATTGCACTCAGTCAACAGAACAATAGAGGAATGTCTATCATCTCTAGACATAGTATCTCTAACGCTGGCTGCTGTAGATATGCCTGTGGAAGTTAAGCGATTGTTACAGCTGCTGGTAAAAGTCTTTGACCAGCTAGCTACTACGGATGATGTATTAAATAAGTTAGTGGATACGGTAGTGTCTGGGGTCTCGTCTTATGTCACAGACAATGTAGATTTTTTAAAGAATAATAATTGTCTGGCCGTGGCCAGTTCGGTAGATTCTGGGATTTTCCGTGGTATTACTGACAGGATTAAGAAAGTCATTCTTGATCTCAATGAAATTCAAGAATCGGATATGTCACCTGAATCATCAGCACTGATCAGCTTTCTTGAATCAGAGACTAATTTGGCTACTTCCCAACAGTTGGTCGATATGTTAAATCCATATATTCAGTTTGAAAGGGATTCTCTGTGTACCGCCTTTCCACAGCTTTCAAAGGTATTACAAAATTATTAGCTCTCACACACGCTAGAAACTTATATACTATTTATAGATGATTGCTATTAATTTTTCTCATTCCAGGGGAAAGCCACTCTTCTAGGTTTAAGTTTGGCCTTTTTATTATGCTCCAGCCGAGAAGGCTGCCTCCATTTTGTTAATTCTAGGGGGATGGATCAACTTGTATCTTTGCTTGGTCATGATGTTCAGAATTCGACCACCATTACTTTGCTGTTGCTTGGAGTTGTTGAGCAGGCTACTCGCCATGCAGTTGGATGTGAGGGGTTTTTAGGTTGGTGGCCTCGTGAGGACGGAAGTATCCCGTCTGGGAAGAGTGAGGGCTACTGTCTTCTGTTGAAATTACTCATGCAAAAACCATGTCATGAAGTTGCCTCTCTTGCAATATATATTCTTCATCGCTTGAGAATATATGAGATTATATCAAGATATGAGGTACTCTCCATATTAAGAATCTTTTTTTTTTCGTTGGCATTATCTTAATAGGTCCCTGACGTATCCTGTTACTAATAATTTTCTCTCAGTTTGCAGTGCTGTCAGCACTGGATGGTCTCTCCAATTCTCTT